GGTCCCATCACCTCCTGGGAAATAGAAGAGGAAGATATGGAGGCAGTGACAGATTTTACTTTCTTGGGCTCCATGATCACTGCAGATGGAGACAGCAGCCCCGAAATTAAAAGACGCCTGCTTCTTGGGAGGAAAGCAATGACAAACCTTGACAGCATCTTAAAAAGCAGAGACATCACCTTGCCAACAAAAGTCCGAATAGTCAAAGCTATGGTTTTTCCTGTAGTGTTGTATGGAAGTGAGAGCTGGATCATAAAGAAAGCTGACCGCCGAAGAATTGATGCCTTTGAATTGTGGTGCTGGAGGAGACTCTTGAGAGTTCCCTGGACTGCAAAGAGAACAAACCTATCAATTCTAAAGGAAATCAACCCCGAGTGCTCATTGGAAGGACAGATCCTGAAGCTGAGGCTCCAGTACTTTGGCCATCTCATGAGAAGAGAAGACTCCTTGGAAAAGACTTTGATGTTGGGAAAGTGTGAAGGCAAGAGGAGAAGGGGACGACCGAGGATGAGATGGTTGGACAGTGTCATCAAAGCAACCAACATGAATTTGACACAACTCGGGGAGGCGGTGGAAGATAGGAGGGCCTGGCGTGCTCTGGTCCATGGGGTCACGAAGAGTCGGACACGACTAAACGACTGAACAAACAAACAAACAACAACAGCAGCAACAACTATAAGGGGAATAATAATTGCCTTGGCATTCATAAGTCTGAGAAAGAGTAGCAGTCCTTTTAGGATCAGTGTTCGGGAGGAGATGATAGAATAACAAAAACATAGCTGATCAGGAGACAAAAAGGGTTTCATTGGGTATGACAATGTTACTGGTGATAAAACTACAGACAGTTTCTATTAAAGCTGCCAGTGAAGGAGAGAGTTCTGAAATTTGGCAGCTGAAAACAAAAAATTTGGCATATATAATTAATGAAGATCTGAGTCTTTGCTTTCAGCAAAATGACTTTGTGGTTAGTCATGTTTTGGTTTCCCTCTCTTGCAAAGTGTGAACAATCATAGAAATGTGTACGTTTTAAACAGGAGTCATTTTTCAAGAACTGAATGTGCATTTCTCAGAATATAATGAAGTTCCTCTGTATCTGGCTAACCTCAGAATACAGATGGTCCTAAATTCATCTGTTGAGGCCACCGCTGTGTTTGTGCTTGTATATAATTTGTGTCACAATACTAAGGAAAGAACGGTGTTATTCAAACTTGGTTCAGATATTTCCTTTCAGTACTTTAATCTTGGCAGTGGTTTTGCTATATATTTGTTATTTTTATACTTCTTAAATTATTATTGAAATCTTTATAAACTCTGTAGATAGGCAATAATTTTATCATAATGAAACAGGTGGGGTGGGGTTGTACAATCAGCAGAATTTGCTCATAATAATGCAAAATGTCCATAATGTGATTATGTTCTAGGAGTAAGAAAGAGCAGGTTAGTGTGAGAGCAGACAAGGTGGCTGAACACACAGTATAAATATGATACAAATGGGTTTTGATAGTAGGTCAAAGAATAATAGAAATATTAACAAAGAATAATATATTTTTCTTATTGCATCTTAACTACATCCATGAAGACTCAGTCCTAAAACAGATACTGCTGAGTAGTGCAATTTATATTATATGCCCATACTTTAAACATCTACAAATGATTATGAAATGCAGGTATACTATGTGCACATTAAATTGTCATCCTTTTTGCTCACCCATGGTTGTATAGCCATAACTTGCATGTATATCTGTTAACTTGTATACAGTTATATATCTGTTAACTTGTTTAAAAGTAAATATTAATTGGTAAGTTTACAAGTACAGTGGACCCTTGACTTACAGACTTTTTGAGTTACAGACTTCTCTGGCTGCAAAATTTAGGTTTGACTTGCAGACTGAGATTTGACTTAGAGACCAGAAAAAACCCAAAATGGAACAAAAACGGCCTGTTACGGGATTAATCGGTTTTCAATGCACTGTAGGTCAATGGAGACTTGACTTACAGACTTTTTGACTTGAGAACTGCCTTCCAATACGGATTAAGTTCTCAAGTCAAGCCCCCACTGTATCTTAAAACTGATGTGAATTTTAGGCTGTTTCACATTTTGCAGGAATGGAACATAAGTGTGATTTTAAAAGAAAAACAAGAGGTTTGATAGACTGAAGCTTTTGTTGTTCTTAAATCTTGTCCATTCTGTCTTTGTATGAATTTGAAAGCTATGTCTTCTTGGGACAGTTAATGAATGTTGATAATGTTTATCTTTTCAGGTCATTGGGATCTGAAAATGTGCTTCTTAGAGGAGCTACATTAAAGAACACAGAAAAAATATTTGGTAAATATTGCAGGAGGAAAACAATAATAGTTCCAGTTTGGAAATGCATGTTAAAAAGCATGTTGAACAAGGTTTCAGTAGCTTCTTCTGAGGTTGTGCGAGGGTCCATCTGATCAAACAAGAAAAACCTCCCAAATATTGTTCAATCTCTCACATGGAGGCTGAAAATAGCATTCTCAGGATGAGACAAAATGATTACTGAATAATCATGAATCTAGGAGGGCAAGAGCATCTTCTTGCACTGTAGAGCAGGATTTGCCAAAGACAGGAAGTCGTGTTTTCTGTCTGCAGAGATGAGTGATCCAAGGAGGCTTTGCTTCTGGTGGCAGGGACAGAATAACAAGGAGATTTTGCTGGGCACAGGAGGGCACAGGGGACCTTTAGGAGGAATAGCTTTTAAGTGCTGTCCCTGTGGTTGCCGTAACAGCTTTGATTTTTGTCTTGCCCTTTTTTTCTGACAGGACAACACAGCAGTTACTACAAACATGGTTTTGGAGGCTTCATGAGACCCACAGGCCACATGTTAACCACTCCATTCCTAAATTGTATAGATGCCTACTTTCTATTAATTTATTCTTGTTTTCATTGTCTCCTTGTAATCCTCTTTGTTCTGCATGATCAGTTTTTGTCCGATGGTCTTTTTCGCAGAATTTGTCCCATCCCTAGTCTGTTAGGGATCACATAATAATGATGGTATGACATTATGAAGCCAGTCAGATTTGGCTACATAACAATGCAACTGGGAACTCTGTTCCGAACAAAGACAATATTCCCTAGATCATTACTGGCCTCAGTCTAAATGGATAGACATATTTTCAGTCTTCTGGACCAGTGCCCTCAAATGTGCTAAAAGTGAAATGCTTTCACTGCTCTCAAAAATTTGAGCAACTAGCATTCTCTGTTTCAGCTTGACTCTCCTACTGACTGCATGTGGCTCATCCACCCATTCCTAAACTCACTGCATCAGGGCAAACAACTGAAATACATTTTGTACATAATTTTACGCTTTTGTATTAGTACTTGCATAAACTCTGTTAACATACTATACATGTATATTTAACCCATAAACAATTTTGGATTAAATAGTTTTGTTGTTTGTGTGTTCCAGGGGTGGCTATATATACTGGCATGGAAACAAAGATGGCATTGAACTACCAGTCAAAATCTCAGAAAAGATCTGCTGTAGAAAAGTAAAACTATATCAGCTCTTCTAATATATGTATATCTATGGGGGAGATGGGTAGGAAGTAAGAAAATAAAAATTATTATTATGTTGTGAACAGCAAAACCTTAGACCATGTTTCTGGTTATAAGCATAAGCATTTTCTGCTTATTTTTGTTTACAGTTAAGAATATGGATTTTTTTTCCAGATACAGGGTTTACTGTTATACATAATTCCCCTGCCAAAAAATTTGAAGAATGCTGAACAATTAACAAATAGCTCAACACACAACTGTTTATAATCACAACATACAAGACACTGTTAAATATTGGAAGAAGTAACAGTAACAGATCCTTTTTTAAAATAACTTTTCAAGCTGTTCAGTCCAACTTTATGGATCTCCATGGATCGACAGCTGGCTGCACTGCTCTAGCACCAAGCTTCAGGGAGAAGAATTCGGAAAACCCCTTTCCCCTGTCCTCTCTGGTGGTCTGGCCACACTGATTTGCAGCCCATGCCAGACTCCACAGGCTGAGTACCCCAAAGAAAATTTAGTCAAGGGTTGTTAGCTAATGTTTAGTTTTCCCTGAGAAAATTATAGGAGCAGAGGATGCCTTGCTATCTGGCATGTCCTGAATTATAGTGTTCTAGTCAACCATAGTGGAGAAGACCTTTCTCATTTCTCTCTCCCAGCAATTTGCTGGGATTTAAGCACTTGTCAATATAACCAGTACTCAGCTTAGATTTGCCTGCAGGGAGATTTTTGTCAGGACCTTTAAGAAGATAAAAGATGCCAGTCGTTGCCCTCTCCTATCTCCTCCTGCTTCTGGGAGGGAGTTTTCTTTAAAAAAATAATAATAATAATTGATACAATACATCTGTGCTACCCTATTAATTGGGTTTGTTTGTAATTAGGTTTGTTTGTTTGTTTACTTCCTCTTCCCCTTCACAGAGTATTGAATGTTTTGTTTGCCAGTATCTTAAAATGGGTGTCTTCTTAAGCCACTTCACAATATAGCAGATTGACAGCATAGGTCATTTGAGGCCCTCTCCTGTCTCCTACCACTTCCAGGAGTGTGTCTGGTACAGTGCATCTGCGCTGCCCTAATTGAGTAAAAAAAAAATATTTTTTTATTTCCTCTGTCTCTCCACAGAGTTGCATTTTAGTCCACACCAGCTGCTGCAAAAGAGCCCATGTAGACAACTCTTCACTAAGCTATACCAGCTCACTTAAAGTGAATTTTAGGAGTTCTTTTTTCCAGTTTCTGAAATATGTACTTGGTTGCATCTTTCTAGCTGTCTGTGTGATCTGTCATATAGTTTAGGTACTGCAAGTGAAGCTGATTGTTTCTCTTTCATTGGCTTATTAATAGAATTACTCAAAAGCTCATAGTACAGTGACTGTAATGTTAGTCTTGACCTCAGAAAACGGAAGTTCTAATAACTTTTTAGTCCTAAAGCATATTGGAAATCCAGTAGGGTTTTTTTTTCCTCATAAGAATAGTTGACAGAAATTCCGCCACGAGATGGGTAGTGGTTGGAAAGTAATCACTTAGAAGAATTGGGAGGGGGTCAGAGAGGGAGGGAGGGAGGGTTAGGAGAAAAGGGTGTAGCAAGGAAGATCTAAGGGCAGAGTGAGAGGGGCAACGAAGTAAAATATGGGCTACTGTGTCTGATTCGCGGAAACAGAGTGGACAGAATCTGTTTGATCGGGGGGTATTGGAGTATCTGCCAAAGTGATAAGCAGATGGGAAGATGTTTAAACGAGCAAGAAGAATTACTCAAAAGCTCATAGTACAGTGACTGTAATGTTAGTCTTGACCTCAGAAAACGGAAGCTCTAATAACCTTTTGTCCTAAAGCATATTGGAAATCCAGTAGTGTAAGCTTTCTTGTAGAGTTGTGATACTAAAATGGATGATGCTATTTCATTCTCCGAGCTCCTTAGAGGAATGCTAGAATATCAGCATGATGGATAAACACACTTGTTTTGGAGATAGCCTTGTGCCAATATTGTGCAAAAAGAGAAAACACCTTTGAGCGTGGCAAACACTCAGCTTTGCCAGCCTTTTCATCTTCAAAGAGTGATATAGAATTTGTTAGTCAAATTTCCATGATCTTAGACTGAATCAAATTATGTTACTGTACAAATTCATGTATTGTCTTAGCTAAATTTTCCCCTCTTCTTTCAGATCAATGAATGTATTTCTTATTGTATACCTCTGTATCCTAATCAGTAAATCATTAATAAATACTGTCCTGAAATATGTTTGGCAAAGTGAACAGTCTCGTGATGAGCCCTGGTATAATCAGAAAACAGAACTGGAAAGGAAAAGAAATGTGGTATGTGAATCACTTTAGTTTTAGTAAGGAATATGTTTTATAATTAATGTGTAATTACAGTTTTTTCTATATTTCTTATCTTGACACATCTGCAACAACTGTGTGGCTTGGTAATGCTATAGAGTATTCTTACCCTCCCAAGTAACATGGCATATATTTGTCTTCACAGTACTGTGAAACCAGAAAGCGAATCTGCATAAAGTACTTATTTTGGGTTTTATCCAGAGTAATCTTGACATGCACAAACAAGCAAACAAATAAGGGCACATATTAGCAGAATGAGTAGTGGAAACAAACCTTAATGTTAATGAAATTGTAAAGGCACTTCAGAAAAATTCATGCAGTAGCTTATGTAGAGTATTGAATCTAACTGTTGTGTAAAGATTAGAACAGGGATTCAGTAAACAGCAACAACAACAACAATTTTGTGCTGTCAAGCCAGTTTCCAGTTTTCCAGGTAGTGAGTACTTAGAAGTGGTTTACCATTCCCTTCTTCTGGATGCACCCCGTGATTGTGCAGCCTGCCCAAGGCCACACAGGTTGGTTCTGCTCCTGGGAGGCAGGCTGGTGTGTATTGAACTCTTGGCCTCTGGCTCTGCAGCCAGAAACCTAAGAGAATGTCAGCAGTCAATAAAACTGTTTTTTCTGAATTTCCCTTGCCGTTTCTTGAAAGCAGGGATTGGCCTAGTTCAGGCACAGTATGTCACTAAACAACATAGTTGTTAACATATGAGTACAGTCAACCCTTGACTTAAGAACCTCCCTAGATACGAACTTTTCGATTTACAATGGCAAAAATTGGCATCGACTTGCGAACGGAGCTCGACCTATGAACGAGTTCGAGGCTCCGTTCGCAAGTCAATGCTATTTTTTTGTGAACACAGCCATTCGTAAATGGCCCCCGGCAAAATGGTAGGGAGAAAGTGCTGGAAATTCGAATTTCCAGCCCTTTCTCACTGCCTTTTTGCCTTCAGTGCTCTCAAAGGGCTTTCCGCCTGACATCGGAGCAAGCCTTTTGAGAGCTCCGAAGGCGCTGATCACGGCGGCAGGGACCCCAGGGAGGTCTCCCATGTTGGCAGGCAAGTCCTGGGCTACCTCCCTCAGGGTCCCCGCCACCACGATTGCCACCTTCTGAGCTCTCAAAGAGCTTTCACCCCTGACATTGGAGCAAGCCCTTTGAGAGCTCCGAAGCCAAAAAGGCAGGGAGAAAGGGCTGGAAATTCCAATTTCCTGCCCTTTCTCCCTGCCTTTTTGCATTTGGACCTCTCAAAGGCCTTGTTCCGATGTTGGGGAAAGCACTTTGAGAGCTCCGAAGCCATAAAGCCAGGGAAAAAGGGTGGGAAATTCGAATTTCCAGCCCTTTCTCCCTGCCTTTTTGGCTTTGGTGCTCTCAAAGAGCTTTCCGCCCAACATTGGAGCAAGCCCTTTGAGAGCTCCAAAGCCAAAAAGGCAGGGAGAAAGGGCTGGAAATTCGAATTTCCCACCCTTTTTCCCTGGCTTTATGGCTTCGGAGCTCTCAAAGGGCTTTCCCCCCGACATCGGAGGAAGGTCTTTGAGAGCTCCGAAGCCAAAAGGGTAGGGAGAAAGGGTGGGAAATTGGAATTTCCAGCCCTTTCCCCTGCCTTTTTGCCTTTTGAAATGCTGGAACGGTTTAATTCTGTTCCCATGCATTTCAATGGGAAATGGTACTTCGACTTACAAACTTTTTGACATGCGAACATCATTCCAAAACGGATTAAGTTCGTAAGTTGAGATACCACTGTAAGTTACAAGCTCTTCACAATCCAAAATGTTTCCAGTCTTGTTTTGTAGAAAACCCATAAATTATAGTTTCTTGTTTTGAACACTATAATAAATTGTATTTTAAGAAATCAGGGTCTTTTCTGTAGCTGGTTGTGTACAGGGAGGGAGGCAACAGAACTTGTTAATGCTCTAGCGTGAGCATTTTAGAGAAATTGGCTTTAGTCAAGCCCAACTGACTACATCAACAGACCTGACTAATTAATTTTTGTATCTCTTATTCCTACAAAACACTTTAGAATTTGTACTCTATATTTGTATTATATACTTATATATATTATGCAGGAAAATGATTGTGCAAAATATTACCACAAATACAGGCAGTATATATTCCACTAGAAAAGAAATAGAATGACATTTCTGGCATTTACTTACCGGTAGATATTTTGCTTGCTAGAGTACAGCAGCTTAGTGGCAAATTAGACTGAGATAGATTTTTAGAGCAGGATGCAAGCAACTAAAGCTGAATTATGAATGGGTCAGTTTATGATATACAGTCATAAAGATATAAGAATGCAGTTGTATTCAGGGATGGTCTAGAATGCCCATAGGATGGGTTTAGCAGGGAACCAAGAAGTGCAGCTCCCGCAATAGCTGGAACCGAACAGAGGCTTTTGATACTGTTGGCACAGGACTACTCCTTCAAAGCCCCACCTCCCCTTCCAAAAAGGAAGGCTTAAAGCAGAGGTTTCCAACCTTGTGTCCCCAGATGTTCTTGGGAGCTTTCACCACTAGCTGCACTGGCCAGGATTTCTGGGAATTGTAGTCCAAGAATATTTCAGGAACCCAGGTTGGGAACCACTGCCTTAAAGGGACAGCTACCTGACTGGCACTTTGTTACCTCCGTAGGAGCTCCTGTAAGCCAGAGACAGGCACTGGTGCACCACCCATCACGGTTGAGGCACTCCTGGAATTGGACAGCTTGTCCCAGTTCTGGGCCAGACCCCGGAGATGCCACAGCAGTTATGGGTATCAAATCCTTAGGGATATCAGTTTGGGCTGGCTCAGAGGACTCAGACTCAGTTGGCTTGGAGGTCTCAGGCTTGTTTGGCACAGAGATTGCAGGTCCGACTATCTGAGGGAGTCTTCCTTTGGCTTCTCACCTTTTGAGGCCACATCCAGGCAGCTACTAGACAGACAGCAATTCTGAGAAATGAGAGCAATTCTGTGCCAGTTTCATTAAGAGTAAACCCATCTGCATGCCCCAGGACATCCAGGTATACATGCACATGATTCTAATGTTAGCTGTAGTTTCTAGTGGCGCATCCAGTTTAATTACTTGTTTTTATGTTTTTCCTTTGACAGTTTATTACAGCTTTTACCGATTTTCTTGCCTTCATGGTTCTTTTCAACTACATCATTCCTGTATCCATGTACGTCACTGTAGAAATGCAAAAATTTCTTGGTTCTTATTTTCTCACCTGGGACGAAGAAATGTTTGATGAAGAAATAGGTGAAGGACCACTAGTGAACACTTCAGACCTTAATGAAGAGTTAGGACAGGTAACTTCATGGGACATACAGAGCTAACATCTGTCTCTAGAATTTAAAACCCTGGAGGGATTGTATCAGACTTTTTCTTAAAACTTATGATAACCTTAGCACATCTAGTATACTGCCTGATAATTTGTCTGACTTTGGGTCCATACAAAACTTTTTGCTGTTTTCTTGTCTACTGTGTGAGAGTACTAATTATGTTTGGCTTCCTATATTTTGATATCACGGGAAAAAGCAGTTTGTTCAAAACTTTGAGTAGTAGCTTTAGATTCCCTGCTGGCACACACAAAGTATGAGCCTAGGGATCAAACTTGCTTATCTTGTAATACTATATAGTGGTTGAGTGCTACTTCTGAATTGAGCCAGATGATTAAAACAAAGATTTCTAAGAAGTGCTGGTTCTGTTTGTTGCAATGGCTGAAAAACTGAAATCCCACGCAGACCTTTGCACAGAATATGCAGAGATGTGAGCAAATAAGTAAGCAGCCATAGAAGCCCAGCAGCATGCCAGGTGCACCAGCTTGTGTATGGCTCTGTAATTGCATTTGGCTCCATATGGCTACAGCGCTTCCATGTCTGGAAATACAGTGATATTGGGATTCCTGATTCCATCACTTGAGCACAGAGCTTCACATTGCCAGGTCATGCCAGTGTTTGGGATGGAGTTGGCATATGTGTGCACCCATGTCCACAGCCCCAGTTTTAGGCAAATCCTGCATTTGACTCTACTTGTGTATTCCTTAAAATTAAAATGTTCCTGTCCACATAGTATTGGGCTTCTTCTGGTGGAAAGGTGCATTCTGATTTAAACTTTAAAAAAAAAGAATACTCCAGTTTGAACCTATGCATGTGGTGCTTGCAAAAATAAAATTGCCTTCTATTCCATGTTACATGGGTCTAACTTACAAGCAAAATATCATCCTTGAAAGGAAAAGTGCTGTATGCTATCTGAAGGCCAAGGGACAAAATCTTAAGTCGCACACAATAACTTCAGCTATCAAGAGAGCTGATTTTTCCCCCCAAGCTCTGTCCTTGTTACTTCAGTCCTTAATTGCTCTGTATGTCTCTTTTCAGGTTGAATATGTCTTCACAGATAAAACAGGGACATTAACAGAGAACAATATGGAGTTCATAGAATGCTGCATTGAGGGGCATGTTTATGTGCCTCACGTCATCTGTAATGGGCAAATCCTCCACGACTGTGCTGGTATTGATATGATTGATTCTTCTCCAGGAGGAAGTAGCAAAGTATGAAGCCTTTTAAAAAGAACAGTAAAAATTATATACTGACAGAATAATACTATTCCATTTTTGAAACCATGATATTTGAAAGTTTTTGTTGAAATAACTTTTTTTTGGTGGGGTAGGAATTGCACTTTTAGAAAGTTGCTTTCTTTTAGTGAGACCTTGTTTTGTTTTGTTATTCTAATGACAGAATGGCCACTTGTAGTAATCCTTGCTGTTAATAATCTATATGTCTTGAGAAAACCCTGGTTTCCAAAGTAAACAGTGAAAACAAAAACAAAAAAAATTCAAGCGGCTTGCAGCAACTTTTGTAGTCAACAGACTGCATCTCAGTATGCTAAAATCCTTTACATTTCCTGTCTATTCCTGCAGTAACTTCTGATGCTGTAGGTTAAACAAGTTTGATTTATAAACCAGGAAGGCCTTGGGGAGGAAGCCAGGATACTAAAAGTAGGGTTCACAACAGTTTATGGGAGTTTGCATCAACCTGTCATACCCGATGCGTATTCTGTGTTTTTAACTTTGTGAAGCAGTGGTGAGAGGAGACAGGGAAGCAAAGCTCTAGACTGGAAGTTACGTTGTTCTGCACACACGTTCTGGCTTCAAAGATCTTAGTTCTTTTTTTCTTTTTCTTCCTCCCCCCACTTTTTCCTTGTCTTTCTCTGGGTGTTTTCGGGCAAAGCTTTTATTGTCCAAGCTAGGTGATGTCATTTTTTTATCTGTAAGCCTTTTTTGTTTTCCCACCATTAGTATCTCCCTTCCCATTCCTTGTCAGAGAAACAAAAACAACAAGTAAGAAGGGAAGAGCAGAAGAACTACACAATGAGTTTTGATTAGTAGCTCAAGAAGCCTTCTATCTGGAAATATCCACCCTTGCTTTAACAGCCAAAACAGTATCAGAGGAAAGGCCATAGCATAGGCTTTGCGCACAGAAGGCCCCAGATTCACTTCCCTGCATCTCTTGGTAGGGCAGGAAAAACTCTTGCCTGAAATTCTGAGAACCGTTACAAGCCAGCATTAATAGTACTGAGCCAAGTGGACCAGCGATCTGACTTAGGGATCTCACCTTTTTTGGGTTCCTGTCAGCCTGAGCCTATGTGGTAGAGGTCAGTCCTGAATACAACATTTTTTTTCAAGCTCAGATAATCCTATGGGTAACATTATCACCATTGATTTAGCAGAGCCAGGAAAGCAAGATATTTTTCACTGATGTCAATCTTAGAATAACTCCATGCATTAATTGGAATGTACACAAAGGGGGAAATACTTTTCGTAGTGACACAGGAGTCATAGTGAAGCAGCTCAGCCTACTCTGATTGCACAGGAACTCTGGGAATGTGATACATTAGCTCAAATTAATTTGTTCACTTACTCAAAAGATATACAGTGGTGCCTCGATAGACAGTTACCCCACATGACAGTTTTTTCGCTAGACACTGACTTTTTGCGATCGCTATAGCAATTTGCAAAACAGTGATTCCTATGGGGAAATTTTGCTGGACAATGTTTGGTCCCTGCTTCGCAAACCAATTGTCACTAGACAACGATTTTGACAGCTCCCTCTGTGCTCACAAAACGGGTATTTTCGGGACCTAAACTTCGCAAGACAGGTATTTAAACAGCTGATCAGCGGTTCGCAAAGCGGCTTTCCTATGGCCGATCTTTGCTAGACAACGACGATTCTTCCCCATTGGAACGCATTAAACAGGTTTCAGTGCATTCCAATAGGGAAATGCTTATCGCTAGACAATGATTTTGCTAAACAGCGATTTCAGTGGAACGGATTATCATCATCTAGTGAGGCGCCACTCTAACTTCCTGGAGGTGATTTGCCTCAGGTTAAGAAGTCTCTATGGACATATGTTGAATACCACATTGCAAAGTTTGTTATAAAAGGGATTACTGTAAGTTACATATTTTGCATAATTAATTAAGAGAATTTCAGCCTATGACTTATCAGTCATTGACAACAGGATGATGGGTAGATAATTCCCAGCGACCATTACAGTAGTGCCTCTGACAGTAAGTAGTCCAGAGGAAAATGCTTACAATTTTCTCCTCCCTCTTTTCCTTCCAGGCAATTTCCATGCCCCATTACAAATAATAGGATGGTACTTGACTTTTTTCACAGGATTTCAGGCAGCTGCAGATGATGGGGAACTGGAGGGGAGGGGGAGAGACTTTCCTTCCTCAAATCTTCTTAAGCTAAGTTAATAGAATGTCCAAGCCAGTAATGGGTGCCCTTGACTATGCACATCAGTCCCACACAATATGTACCATAAAAATGGAACCTGTTTACTCAGAAAACATTTAATACTGATGCATCTTCTCTTAAGAGTTGGAAACATGTACTAAGCAACATTATTCTTTCATTTATTAGGATAGAGAAGAGCTCTTTTTCCGAGCTTTGTGCCTTTGTCATACTGTTCAAGTGAAGGAGGATGACAACGTGGATGGATTAAAGAAAGCTCAGCTGTCAGGGAGGTCCTCTGTTTATATTTCATCATCTCCTGATGAAGTTGCTTTAGTTGAAGGGATTCAGAGGTATCTGCCATGCTAATATATTTTTCTCAGCTTGTGGGAAACCACTGTTTAATTTGATAATATTTTTAAAATAGAGGGGGAATAACAATAACAAACATGCCATTAAGTTGATTCTGATACAGCAACCAACCCTTTTTATAATGATATTCCTTACATTAGAGATGGGCTGAGGGGAACACATGGAAAAAATGAGAGAGATTGTGACTAGTTCCCAATGAAGCACTGCTAGCCTGTTCTAGGCAAAAGGAATAAAAGACAGACACATTTTAATTGGCATACATTTTTGTCCACTTTCATGGACTATAGGCTGTTTCATTCTGGCCAGGATTTCTGGGAGTTGAAGGCCAAGAACATCTGGAGGGCCACAGTTCGACACCATTGGACTATAGGCTGTTTCATCAGATGCATGAAGTGTTGCTTAAATTAGCAGATGGTTTTAGGCATTCTTGGGTGCCTAAGAATGAGTGGGTGTATGTGCCATCCATTGGATGGGAAGGAACTGATAAGCTGAACATACTGTACAAAGATGGATCATTAGCTTAGTAGTGCCCTTAATAAGCAGCAACTGGGTACTAATTGATAAACTGACATAGGTTAATCCGTCAATACATGCTTTGTGATAAAGAGTCTTTGCTTTAAGTGAGATGCTGAACCTCTTGAAGAATTATTGTGGGTGGGGAATTGTCATCGGTGAGGTCAGAGGGAATTCATGTGCAATACAAACAGTGGTAATTGCTAGTGGTGATGAGGAAATCAGCATGATTTGAATTCTTAACTTCCACTAAAAATAAATGTTGTTGTATGTCCTGAATAATTATCACCAGATGACTAGCACAAGCAGTCAAGGCAGAATGTGATCTACTTAAAAAAACCCACACCAGATGACTAGCACAAGCAGTCAAGGCAGAATGTGATCTACTTTTTAAAAAAAACACCAAAAACTGGAGAACAGAAATATCTTACGATAGAAGTGCCTTTTGTTCCTTTCAGATAGGGCAGACATGACCACTGAAACATGGTTAAAATCTGCTTCTTAGGACTCGGGTCCAAATTGGAATTTAATTGGTAGTAGCTGGGCATTGAGTAGGCCAAATCTTTTTGGAAAGAAGACAGATTTGATAACATTCTCATCAAATTTGAGTGTTGAATGTACAGTATGCATATCATAGAGGAAGAACGTAGTCATGTCTTTAAATGTGTTGGATAAGATTACAGTGTGTCTTGACAATACACAGCAGAAGGCTCACATTCTCTTCTATTTGGGTGAGAACAGCAAAGATGGGAAGGCCATTCTCAGAACCTTGAAGCAGAAGAGAGATAGAGAAATCCTGGACCAACTTGAGCAAAGTGATGTTAGTGCCTTCTAAATGAAGTCAAAATTGTTGTTTCTACTAGCTTACATGACAAATTGCACAGTTCATTATATTGCAAATGCGTATTCTAAACTATCATTTTATTAACTTCTATGTTATCTGTAATTAAATTTTCAGACTTGGTTACACTTATTTGAGACTGAAGGACAATTTTATGGAATTTTTAAATCGAGAAAATGACATTGAAAGGTATGTTTTTGGTATGAGGTAGGATTACACAAAAGGCAGGCAGATTCTTGAGGTCAGCGGGCTGAAGTTGATCATCACCACACACAGACTGTTGGACAGGTCATTCTGTTGTTGCCACAGTTATGGTGGTATTTTGTGACAACCGGGAAAGCTCGCTGTGGTATGGAGTTGTTCCAGAACATCCACGTATACTATAGAGAGAGCCCTGCGTGATTGAGGTCTAGGATGTGTCACAGGGCTTCTGGTCCCGAGAGTCAACACTCTTTGCCAGGCTTTTACGAGCTGTTTCAGTGGGAGGATCCTACAGTTTCCATGGCTGAGCAGAAATTTGAACCAAGGTCTCCTGTGTCCTACATTCTGTCCAGTACACCACATGTTGCTGACCACTGGGCTGCACAAATACCATACACATCCTACATATGACTGTTTTTATACTTTAACATTTTTGGAAAAATATACTTTGCACAAGTGTTTTCCTTAATTAATTGTAAGTATGCGGGAGATGAATTCAGTGATCTGTCAGGTTCAGATTTTGTGTCAGAGAACAGAGTTTCATTTTCCGCGTTGACTTCAAAGTTTTAATGCTTACTTACAAGGCCCTAAACGGTTTAGGACCTCGATATTTGGCAGAATGCCTGCTTCCACCAAGGGCTACCTGGATCACCCGTGCGAGTCAGGAGGTGAGGCTGAGGAGCCTGACGCCGAGAGAGGCCCGGAAGGAGAAGACACGAAACCAGGCCTTCTCGGCGGTGGCTCCTCGCCTCTGGAACAACCTCCCTCTGGAGATTCGTGTGGCCCCTACGCTGGGTGTCTTTAAAACCCAATTAAAACATGGTTATACATCCAGGCCTTCCCTCCAGCCAATTCTTGAATTCTTTCTTTATTTTTCCCCTATTTTATTTTTTCTTTACAGTGGTGCCTCGCATAACGAGCGCACCGTTTAACAACGAATTCGCATAGCTATCTGTTTTTTGGGATCGCTAATGCGATCGCATACCGATGCTTTCTATGGCCGAAAATCGCTTTGCGACGATCGGTAAGCATTTTGCTTACCGATTTTGGCATAGCGATTTTTGGAAACAGCTGATCGGCGGTTCCAAAATGGCCGCCAGATGCCCAAAATGGCCGCGCAGCGTTTTTGTGCCCTACCCTCGCTTACCGAGGGTGTGAAAATGGCGGCCAGATGGGGAAACATTGCAGAACGGTGAGTTTTGGGCCCCATTGGAACTTCGTTTAATGCGTTCCAATGGGTTTTTTCCGTTCCGTATAGCGATGTTTCCCCATAGCGACGGTTAATCCGGAACGGATTAACCTCGCTATGCGGGGCACCACTGTATTTTATTGTGATTGCTATTGAATGATTATGCACATTCTTGTATTTTATTGTTTTATTTTTTATTGGAAGCCGTCTAGAGTGGTCTGGTAGTCCAGATAGGCGGGGTATAAATCAAATAACTAAATAAATAAATAAATAAATAAGAGAGTATTGTCTCTTCACAAGGGCCCTCTGGTGGTGGATTCATGTTTGTGTGTGTGAATGTTAAGTGTGCCCATGTAACTATGTCAATTGTTGCAAAATGTCTTTGATTTTCCCTTCAGGTTTGAACTATTGGAAATCCTTAGTTTTGATTCAGTCAGGAGGCGGATGAGTGTAATAGTTAAATCAGAAAAAGGTAATATTGTTTAAAAAAACCCAAAGCAAATGCGTACTCGAGTTCTTCAGTCCTTTGTTTGACATTTAAAATTCAACTTATGCTCTTTGTCAAATGTATCAGTTTCCCCACCTTCCTCCTCATCTTATTGTTCCATTGTTTTAAAATAGGATGCATGGTATTTTGACGTTAAGTCCATTAATGTCACCTTCAACAAGCTGTTGTATAACAATATTTCATTGTTATATTTTTGGCGGGGAGATGTACTGTTTCCTATATTTCACTCATTTAAAAAAAATTCTCTTTGTTTACATTTTAGGGGAAATATTTCTGTTCTGTAAAGGAGCAGATTCTTCTATATTTCCTAGAGTTACAGAAGGCAAAATAGAACAGATCAGAGCAAGAGTTGAGCGCAATGCAGTGGTAAGAGCCAGTATCTGGCATGCATCAATTATATTGTATGTTCTCAAGGCAGAAGTAGCAAATATTGTAAGAGCAGACTTACTCAAAGTTGGAGTGGGGAGAAAGAAACAGAAAGAAAGAAGAGAAGGCACTGATTATATTGACTCCTCCTATTTAATGCACATGGTGTGGGACTCATATGCACAACATTAGGCATTAGAGATTTCAATGAACTCTGTAATTCTGGCAATTCAGTGTACCAGAAATGCATAATGCTTGCCTCAAGAAGCAGGTATAATGAGCCCCAAATTCTTTGTTAGCTTGAACTGGAATCTGAACTGTGAAAGAATTGATATAATGGGCAAACTCCTGTTGTTTAGCATTGTGAATTGCACTAAATTAGGCATCGTTGAATCAAAGGGATTTGGTGAGTCAGCTCCTCCATAGGTTTGATAGATTCAAATGGGTCTACTCAAAATGTGACTTACTGTGCTAAAGTTAGTTGCCATTAGAGTAGGCCTGTTTGAATCAATTGAACTTACACAGGAGTTGACTCTCCAAATCTTCATTGACTTAATGGACCTACTTTAGTGTGATTTACCGTGCCAAGAAACAAGATTTTGGTTGTTGTGGGTTTTTCGGGCTCTGAAGATTTTGCCTAGTCAGGAATGGCATTTATCATTTCCAGCATTTTAAAAAGTATCCGCCTGTACATCAGTTGTTGGAGAATGTGAAATGGAGGGTGCAGTTGAAAGCATGGCCTGCTGGCCCGCTTCCCAAAGGCCACTGGTTGACCTTTATATGAACTAGCAGGGTTATTTAGAATGTTCTTATGAGCCTAATCTAAAGGATTCAACCTTGAACAAGGTCTGTAGTAATGTAGTGTCTTTAGTCCTCAAGAAAATTACATTTTTGATGCCTATTAGAATTTTGCATCCAGTTTGCATGCTAGAACATGGTAGACAAGGCATCAGGGACAGAGCAGGGTGATTGTTCTCTTTTTGTTTTTTGCTGTGGTTAGTTACTGCTTAATGTGGTTGACCCACCAAGTAAGGAGTGGTTAACGGAAAAGAACAGGTTTTTTTGGAGAAACCTGCTGGTAATTTATTGAATGGAGGTGGAAAAAACTGAACTTCTGAGAAATGGTGTGGTTGTTTTTTTTCTGAACTAATCCAGTGAGAGCGTAGGCAGTTCATCCCTCTCTCGGGCATAATAAGCCTTTTGATGCTTTTTGCTCTCAGAAGCCATGGGAAAGGCAGAGTAAGAGATCTAATTCCCTGGGCTTCTGAATTTCCCAGGGGCTTGTTCAGAAGCATCACTGTGTTCAGAGTGGTAGGCACCCTTACATTAAGCCAATATGATGGGACATAAATATGACTGCCATCTGTATGGATTAATTTGAATATATTTGAAAAATCTGTACAGGAGGGTATTTTTAATTGAATATATTTATGGTTTTTTAAAACAATTTCCTCTAGGAGGGTCTGCGAACATTATGTGTTGCGTATAAGAAATTCACCTATGACGAGTATGAGAGCGTGGAGAAGCAACTTCAGGAGGCAAAGCTGGCCTTACAGGATCGAGAAAAGAAGCTGGCAGAGGCATATGAACAAATAGAAAGGGGGCTTATCCTGCTTGGTGCTACAGCAGTTGAAGACCGGTTAGTGTTCTCCTGTTAGTTTGAAGCAAGGTTATTAGATATATTAGGCTTCATCTTGAAATCTATTTGGCAAACTTTCTTCCCTGTCCAAATACTTGTGTGATGTGTAATAAAGAGCTATTTCCTTGGCTTCAGATTTAGGGTCTGATTTAGATTATCCCATTTCTGCTCAGTAAGCTGAGATATCGTTCCGTGTCTGAGTCGCACTGGCCATGTGACCACGGAAGATTGTCTGAGTGGCACTGGCCATGTGACCACGGAAGATTGTCTTCGGACAAAACGCTGGCTCTATGGCTTGGAAACGGGGATGAGCACTGCCCCCTAGAGTCGAACACGACTGGACAAAAATTGTCAAGGGGAACCTTTACCTTTTACCTTAAGCTGAGATATGCAGGTGCATGAACTTTTTCATACTTGCTTCATGGTTTGCATTGATAAATCAGTAAATAATAGAGATGGGCACAAATTTGAATCATGCTGGATCATTGTATTGGCACTATACAATTTGGGGTCCTGTCCCCCCCACCCCCCCGGCCAGATTCCCCCACTTACCAGTCAGCGCACGCTTTGCTCCTCCTCCCCTTGGGCAAGAACATGAACTTTCCCTCTCTGCTTCCTCGAGCAGCCGCCCGCTCAAAGGTGGCGCTGCAGCAATCCCTGTCCCACCTCCTCGTCTGAGTGGGCAGCTGCTGGTCGAAGGAGAGAAGGAAACTCCACGCTCCTGCCATGACTGGTGAAATGACCAAAGAGGAGGAGGAGTGGAATTTTCAAGGAGCATTTGAAATTAGGGAGAGATCAGACTGCTGAGAGAAGAATTCCATGTATTTATCTAAACTCTTCTTTCCTGAAGAGTTTTTGTTCTCTCTCTGTTCTGTGTCATACTTCTTAACCTCTACTTGGCATATTAACAGTCCTGTGGAAGTGTTTAGTGGCGGGATAATGATTGACCATTTACAATTAGAACTCATAAAAGCAGTACAACAATCTTGTACCATTCACTCATCCTGGTCAGGATTTGTAATATCAAAAAGCTATTAAAGTTACTGTGCCACATAAAAGGAAAAAAAAATAGAAATCACTTCTCTTTCTCCTGGCAGTAAAATAACCATTTCCTGCTCTTATATCTATAATCTGATGTCAGAGGCAACTGCCTCATTCTGCTGCTCTTCCTCATGGAGGCAGGAGAGAAAGCCAGATTCCATTTGTTGTTTTCATAAAAGCAGGGGAGAAGTTACAAACCACCCTCCTCACTTTCTAGTCATGATTATTGGCACCACTACATAATTATTGCTGTTGTCATTTCTTTACTATCATCAGGGTGTGATAGCAAAGAAATTCTAAGATATGTGAGTCATGAGAAATGTAAACTCTGAATGTGAACGATGGTGAAGCAGGAAAGGAAAAAGGAGGACAGGGCTAAAACGAGAAGTTTATTTGTCCATTCTTGAGTTTAATTCTGTGGATTAGCCTTCTCTTAACAAAAAGCTGCTTTTTGATTGTTTTATCCCTGCTTGCTTTAGTCAGGCTAATTAAAACTGCACATTAAGTATGGTGTGTGCCATCTGTGTGATCGTGTTGCTTGGTTTTTTGATTGGTTTTATTTTTTATTAGTCTGGTCCTAATATAGAAAGCTACCAAAGGAAAATAAGTAGGAAAATAAGAGCATTTTTCATGGCTTTTGAAGCACTTTGTTGTCAAAGATTAGCTGAAAATGGTGATAAAAAGAGTTCCATTTGCTTGCAAGAAAACAATGGAAAGGAAGCAAAAAGCGCAGTTAGAAGTATAAAATGAAAGTAGTTGGTGTGTTCACAGATTGGGCTTCAAAAGACAAATTATTGTGTTATCTCTTTTACATTAGCCTGGTTGATTTATTACTGAAAAAGCAGCATTAAAATGTAGGTCTTTCTTTCTTTCTTTCTTTCTTTCTTTCTTTCTTTCTTTCTTTCTTTCTTTCTTTCTTTCTTTCAGTACAGGAACCAAATTAAGCAGGTACAGTCAGTGTTTGCATTAGTGTCTGAAGCCCAAGTCCAAGTTCTCATGAACATTAATGGATCTTGGAATAAAATGAATTGTGAAATGTTTGAAGGCTTGTTACGTTTTGCCAGTTTAAATTAAATTGTTAAAATGTGCCACGAAGAGTGATGATGCATGATTTAAATCAGGGATGGAAAATCCGTGGTTTACCCAGTGCTTTTGAACTGCATCTTCAGTCATCCCCCACTACTGGCGGTGCTGGCTGGCCGTGGTTAATGGGATTTGCTGTCCATCAGCATCTGAAGGACCACACGTTCTAAAACCCTCCTTTAAAACAAATGTCCAATGGTGCGCTTCAGATATAAAAAAGCTCAGCACTTTTAATCAATAAGGTTAAAATCACAGAGCAATCTAATAATAACAAAATAGGTAATATAGTTCATGGGAGCAAAATTACTTGAACCTGAGCTCCTTCTTTCAGCATATTTCCCTGTATAAAAGAAACCTTATAGTAAGTCTCTTACATTTTTAATTTCAAGTTTTGTCAATACTTATCTGTCTCCAAGATTGCAGGAAAAAGCTGCTGATACCATTGAAGCCCTGCAGAAAGCTGGCATTAAAGTATGGGTTTTGACTGGAGACAAAATGGAAACTGCTGCCGCCGCCTGTTACGCCTGCAAATTGTTCAGAAGAAATACTCAGATACTTGAGTTAACTACAAAGAAAATAGAGGAGCAGAGTGTGCATGATGTGTTGTTTGAATTAAGCAAAACAGTCCTCAGGCACAGTGGCAGCTTAACAAGGGACACTTTCTCAGGGTATGTAGAAAATACGAACTCTATTAGAAAAATTAAACATTCTCTGCTTGTGCTAATTCAGGGGGAAAATAAAAAAAACATTTTAAAGAGAATTGCTAGAGTTAAGTTAGTACAGTGGTACCTCGCTAAACAATGACCCCGCTAAATGACAAAATCGCATGATGACTTTTTGCGATCGCTATAGCGATTCGCAAAACAGTAATTCCAATGGGCGATTTTCACTTAACAACGATTAGGTCCGTGCTTCGTGAACCGTTTGTTCACAAGATGACAATTTTTCTGGCTCCGCAAAATGGCTGCCCTGTCTTTTCCAGACCCATGCTTCGCAGGGCAGCCATTTTTACAGCTGATCGGCGCTCGCAAAATGGCTTCCCTATGGGCGATCTTCGCTGGACAACAAGGTATTTTCCCCATTGGAATCCATTAAACCGGGTTTCAATGCATTCCAATGGGGAAAGGGTTTTGCATGACGACGATTTCGCTAAACAGCTATTTTCTGGGGATGGATTATCGTCGTCATGCGGGGCACCGCTGTATTCAGATTTTGATTTACAGCGGTGTGTCTTATGAGCTGCACCTTTACTGAATAGAGGTGTCAGCCTGCAGTGGTGGTAGCATCTTTCCCCCTCTGTAAGTTTTTTTTTCTTTTTTTCCTAATGTGCTCCTTTCAAATGAAAATTGAAATTAAAAATCAAGGGAAATGTTTTGTTCATTATAGACTTCTCTGAGAATGCAGGGAACCTCCTAATTACCACAGTTTGTTTTACAACTTGCTGCTTTTACAGCCATTATAGTATCAGCTAATGCCTCCTCCTACCATCTAAACCTCGCATTTACAGTCACTGGAACTTTAAACTAGAGCACTTTAAACTGGCAGGGCAGCAGGGTAGCAGAGGTGGGAGGGAGAAGAGAGAAGGCAGTAGAGATTGGAGGGGAGCATCAAAGAAAGCAAAAGCATGGAGACATGAGGGAGGACTGAGAAAACTGTCCAGCAAGCAAGTGGAGTGGAAAAACATGCAGGGCGGTAGAGCTTGGAGCCAGATGCTCAGCAGACAGGCTAAAGAAAGGAGGTGCACAGGAGAAGACCGGGGAGGTCGAAGCGGAGGTCTTAGCAAGCAAGGGAGAGGAATAAAGGAGAAGGTGTAAGGGTCTAGATGGGCGGCATATAAATGCAATAAATAAATAAATAATAAATAAATAGAAATTAGAAGGCAGCGGAGGCTTCATTTATAAGGCATGAAAATTCTCCAGGAACAAAGCCACTATTTTAACATTGAGCCTAGAGGGAAAATAGGGTGTAGCTTACAGGGGATTGTTTTACAACCATCATCAGGGAACCAATTAGGTTTTAAGTGCAGGGTTCTGTTGTATTAACAAATTTCTATAGAACCTATAAAAACTGAACATCTACTACTTCATTTCCTATCTGTTTCATCTGTCTGCCATGAAATTCAAAGTGGTATACCTAGGTACCTGAGGTATGGCAGCATAATTTTCCTAAAGGGCTTTGTTATTTCCTTTTAAGACTATTATTTAATCACAGTCCATGTATTTTTCCTAGAACATCGTATCCCTGATCAACCTTTATGCTGTCCCTATATCAACTGGATTTGCTAGCATTCTAATCAAAATATTAAAAGGACATGTTCCTGCCAGGGATTTCTTATGTGTGTAATTGTACTTGCTCACCTGTGCCCTAATCCTAAAGCTGGTTTGCACTGACAGCTGTTTCAACCGTCAGACACTGATTCACTCATTTAAGAAGTCACGCTGATCTGCTGCTATTAATCAGATAGTGCCAAGTTTCCTTTTTTTCCTGGCTGGCTTCTCCGAGCTCTTGTCACAGTGGATCATAGGTGCCCATTTTGGACTCTGTTGGACTTCTTGTACTGGTTATTTCTCAGCATCTGAAGAGGAGCAGGTGCAGCCGACGCAAATCTCTGGACTGTCCCATCTCCCTTGCTCTAGTGATAATGATACTGAATGATAACAGTTGGTAGGGTGTCCTGCAAAATGTAAAAATAACTTGACATTCTACGGTGTCCATGCAAGAGGAAACTGAGGGAAGAGATAACCTTCTGAGGGCAATCTGGGTTTTGTGATATGGCAACCTAGCAGTAAAGCTTCTGCACTGTGGTCACTGGAACAAAAAAAAGCCTGTTATGTATGTATTTACTTATACGAGGAGTTATATGCAAAACATCAGAGTGGTTTTTATTTCGGTGTAACATTTGAAGTGATTGCTGTATAAAACACGACCAGTTACACTGTTAACTTCATTGTTAATTTGTGCGTTTTTGTCATTCAACAGGCTTTCAGCTGAAATGCAAGATTATGGTTTAATTATTGATGGAGCAGCATTATCATTAATAATGAAACCACGGGAAGATGGGAGCTCTGGAAACTATAGAGAGCTCTTCCTCGAAATTTGTAGGAACTGCAGTGCAGTTCTATGCTGCCGCATGGCGCCTTTGCAAAAAGCACAGGTTTGTATTTCTTGGCGTGCAATCATCAGTGACATGATAAACATCTATTTATATAAATATTTCAAGTCTGTGTGTCATGGTACTTTAAAACGTTGAATATTCCACCTTCCAGTGACTGATAATGGAAGTGAAAATGGAAAACAAGGAGGAAAGCATGGAAAAACATTTTTTGTAAGGAAACAATTAGTTAATGGTATGCTAAAATAGCGTCCCACTGTGCTGATGATTTATCTGTGTTCCAAGGATTGATGCATCACTAAAAATGAACATATTTAACAAAAGAGCAGTGCTGCATTTTCAGCTGTATTACGAGGCTGTACATTGTTCTCTTGGGGTTTATATGACAAAAATACTTTTGTAAGCTTTCTAGCCAGTCAGTTTTATTACCAAATAATATTACAAATCAAAAACCTGTCTTTACATTTTAACTGAAATTTTAATATATTGAAATGTTTATATATTTATTTATTTATTTAATTTATACCCCGCCCCTCTAGACCATGTCTACTCGGGGCGGCTTACAACATAAAATAGGACAATATAAAATATAAATAATCATAAAATACAATTAATATATTGATACAATTGGATTAAAAGTTAGCAAAATGGAATAAGAAGAGAGAAAGAAAAAATAAAAGACTTAGCTGACTGGAGGGAAGGCCTCCTTAAACAGCCAAGTTTTTAACTGTTTTTTAAAAACACCCAGCGAGGGTGCCAGCCGAATTTCTGCTGGAAGGGCATTCCACAGCTTGAGGGGCCACCGCCAAGAAGGCCTGGTGTCTAGTTTTTTGCTTCCGAGCCTCTCTCGGCGTCAGACCCCTCAGCCGTCCCTGCTGGCAATGACGGGTGATTCGGGTAGATCTGGGTGGGATGTTAATATAATACTCTTCTCCTATGAGTAGTAACAGTAACAACTGACCTAGGTTATGCTATGTTTATTGGAATGAGGTGTCATTTTATGATGTCCAATATACCCCCCCAATATATATATATAATGGTCAACCCCCTACCCTGTTAAAACAATAATGTATAACAAATGGAACATTGAGCAGAATGACATAATTTACAAAGAAACCATAAGATTTTGTAATACTTGATTTTTTGTCTTCCAGATTGTAAAACTAATTAAATGGTCGAAGGAGCACCCCATCACGTTAGCAATTGGTGATGGAGCAAATGATGTCAGTATGATTCTAGAAGCACATGTGGGCATTGGTAAGTCGACTTCAGTTTTCAATTAAACAAGTTTAAAAAAAATAGCAAATTTATTTTAAAATCAGGAGTGGTGATGTCAGTATGATTCTAGAAGCACATGTGGGCATTGGTAAGTCGACTTCAGTTTTCAATTAAACAAGTTTTTTTAAAAAAAAAACAAAATAGCAAATTTATTTTAAAATCAGGAGTGGGGTGTTGAATACACATAATGGTCTTAGCATTGGGATGCAGATTTCCATTGGGGAATATACAGACCTCCTCATATTGTGGGGAATATGTATCTCTGAGGGGTTTGCCTCCGGCATTACGGTGGGCACACCGCGGGAGCAGATGGCCCTCTAGATCCCATTGAAGACAATGTCTGGTGGGTTAGCCAGCTGAGGGTGGGAAAAAGAAGCCTGTCAAGGAGAGACACCTGGGTGAGCAGGCAGGGGCAGGCCTTTGTCCAGAAGGGATGAAGGTAGAGGAAGGGGAAGAACAAAGTGGTATGAAGAAGGACGAGAAGGGTCTGGAGACAGAGGAAAGCAATGTTTCAGGAGCTGGTGGGGCAGAGTTGGAGGATGAGGGAACCTGGGGTGATGCGATTCAGGAACTGGAGCTAGCCTTGTATGTTGAGGGGTTCTTCCACTGTGTCTATGTTGAAGACCCCTAGACAGACGTGATGGTGCAAATCTGTCTGCCTCAAAGGAGAGGACAGGCTGGAATTTTAATCTTGCCCTGTGCTAGTCACACTCACATCCTGGGTCTTGCCATGGCAGCTTATAGGACAGCCAACTCCCATACCAACTCATAAGAAACACTGGAGGCACAAGTGCCAGAAGGAGGGTCAGCAGCACGTCCAGGAGGGGTTGGTGAACTCTACCATTTGATAACTGCCCAGTTGTAAAGGCCCCCCTTTGGGCGACTGGGCATCACAGTTCATGTCTTCAGCTGTCAGCTATAGACCACTTCAGAATCAGGGCAGTTCCACTGAGGGAAACTGGGATGCCTGAAAATTCAGGACTGGACCGGGGTGTAGTGTTGGGAACACAGCCCACTGAGAGACTTGAGGAGGGACAGATGTCATTGTTTACTTAACTCAATAAATCCTAGCTTCCATCATTTTATGAGTCTGTGGCCTATGGAAATTATGTCTGAAGAAGTTTTGTCCACTGTCTCTATGCTTGTTGGGGTGGGGGCACTTGCAGTATCTCTTCCATCAGTGGCTAAATCTCCATTTCACTAGTGGGTGGAAGATAGTGTAAAGGTACTGTCTTCCTCCCAACACATTTGGGGCAAATGAAACACAGCTGTCACTGTTTGTTGGAAAAGGAGGTAATACATTCTCAAGCATTGGAGAGATACCCATGCCATGGAAGGGACCAAATGGTAACCAAGGTTCCAGTAGGACAACTTCCAGTATTTAGCTGTCTAATTAGTAAAGGAATGGCAAGGGAGAGACAGACAGAGGGACATGATGGCTGGCAATGTTTATACAATTGCAACTCAGTTTAATACACCAATGTGTTTGTTTGCATCTTTTATCCTCTTGCTTCCTTTTTCTTTCTCCATTGTCACTATGGTTACATTGAAGTAGCAGTTACTCAGTTAACCGTAGGTTGCAGTTGCTTTAAAATTCCGTCTCGTTCTGAAACTTCACAGGCTATACTTTCTTGGTTTGGGTAAAACTGGAAGCGGTGGTTAATTGGAGATTTCCTGGATTTAACTATGAAGTGAGGAGAGACCTGTGTATGCAGACACAAGCCTAACTTATATTTTGTCGTATTAAACCAAGACAGTATCATCTGAATGCTGTATTTGTTTCTATACCTTCTAAGTTCAAGATGACACATTCCCCACAATGTTGTAAGCAGACGGTTAGATCTTAGAAGACCATTAAGAGTGCATGTCCATTGATTTAATTTAAAGAAATTCAGAGCTTTTTCTTGGTGACATTTTTTGTTAGAAATATGCAGCACATAATTATATTGAAACCATGGGGAATTCTTGTTAATATCACTAACTCAGTTTCACTGCTTCATTTCACATCTCACCAGCTTCTGTCACTTTCCCCTCTTTCTAGGCATTATTGGAAAAGAAGGCCGTCAAGCTGCAAGAAACAGTGACTATGCAATACCCAAATTTAAACATTTGAAAAAAATGTTGCTTGTCCATGGGCATTTTTATTATGTCAGGATATCTGAACTTGTGCAATACTTCTTTTATAAGGTACAGTGTCTTGCTCCCTTTGGTTTATATTAGAGGAAAACAATTGTGTGACACAGTATCTTCCCAACTGTGCTATTCAGGATGTTCACACAGGCAAGTTATTTTGAACTAATCGGTTTCAATGTCAAAATTCCATGGTTTGAAAAGAAGTCTCATCTTCTAGTATAAGGGGGCAATGATTTCCCCTTATCGGCAACATCACAAATACATACTGCCTACCCCAACACTCTGGAGCCAAAGTTTGGGGAGCAACAGAGGTAAATGGAATTTCATTTTAAATATGTGCACATGCATGCATCCACACGTACAAGTGATGTTAATTAAAATGCTTTCTGTTGGCATGAGGATCCAAGCTGTATAGGTGAAAATTATTACCTAGGTTTCTTCAACTCCCCCCGCCAGATTTTAAAGTCATCTCCAATAACTTTAGGTTATATGCTTCTACTCTATTTCTTAAATTTATACAGCCTTAGGCAGATTTTGGAAACATTACTTTTTGATTACAACTCCCAGAATCCTCTGCCCAGTATGTCTGCTGGCCACACTGCCTAAGAGATTCCAGGAACTGTTATCTAAACATTTTAATCTCTAGGCTTAGGGAATTAATTTTTATGGCCCCAGCCATAAAAAAATTGCTTGCTGATCTAATTGGAGGATTTGTGATTTGATGTTCTATAGCAGTGTGCCTTATCTTTAGCATTGATTTGCTGTCACAGCACCCTGAGAATTGGGCACAAAAAAGCTACCGCCCTTAAAACCATTTACTGCTAGTATATCCAATGATGCATTAAATGAAGGTCCAAGTGATTCGATGGTTGGTGCATCTGGATCATTTTATAATTTCAGATGACCGAGTTGAATAAGAGAAAGGTTACTTGTTTTTTTAATTGTCTTCTGATAGGCCAGATCATTCTTTATGCCCTACTATACTTATAATTATACTTATAATTATACTTATAATTGGAGCAGGAACTGGCAAGCCACTCCGGGATCTTTGCCAAGAAAACCCCATGGACAGAAACAGAAGACAGGAGGACCTGGCGTGCTCTGGTCCATGGGGTCACGAAGGGTCGGACACGACTTAACGACTAAACAACAACAACATACTTATAATAATTAGTCTCATAAACCTCTACTTTTAAAATGCCATCCTTGGGTGCTTTATAAAAATGGATAGTAAAATTGTGGCTATATATTTTCTTACTATCTTGATCCTGTTATCTTAGCATGATAGTTAACATTAACTAAATTATTTAATCTTTTTGTCACATTCACATGCTAAAGTATACATTAATTTACTGATAAACAAGTAAATCCACCCATTTTATCCAAAATAGGACATAATGGCCAGTATTCTGTTCTGTAGCTCCATTGGCACAATGAGAGCGACATCACTGGCAGTGGCAGATCACTGCTAGTTAAAGATTTCCTGCTTTTAGAAAAAGTTTTACACAATTTCATCTCATTGTATGTGAGTTGCACAGAACCCAATTAATAGAAAGCTGACACTGCAAATGATATCATCCCTGTTGTGTCAGCAGAGCTATGGAACAGGATTACTGGCCAATTTGTAATGCACCAAATAAATGTGTTTCAAAATGAAGGACATACTTCTCTCTTTCTCATGTCAGAACAGTGGCATCATTAATTTGCAGTAGTATTCAGTTCTCATTATTTCAGGCCTTAAAATACGTAATGTGAACCCACAAGTAATCTACTATGGAACAGGATTACTGGCCAATTTGTAATGCACCAAATAAATGTGTTTCAAAATGAAGGACATACTTCTCTCTTTCTCATGTCAGAACAGTGGCATCATTAATTTGACCTATACACTGCAGTAGTATTCTGTTCTCATTATTTCAGGCCTTAAAGTAATGTAAACCCACAGGTAAGCTATCTAATTAGTAAGCTCAAATGCAGTAATGAAACTTTGTTTTGTAGAAAGACAGATAAATGGTAGAATTTTGCTCTATGGACAGAAAAGAGCAGATACGGATCAAATGGTTTTCAATGCATTCCTATGGGAAATGCAGATTTGACCTGAGAACTTTTTGACTTGAGAACCACCTTCCAATACGGATTAAGTTCTCAAGTCAAGACCCCACTGTAGTAAGCTCAAATGCAGTAATGAGACTTTGTTTTGTAGAAAGACAGATAAATGGTACTGCAGAATTTTGCACAACTGCAGCAGATCTTTTTAGGAACTAAGTAATTGCAACTGCAGTCCTCTCTTTTTCACTTCTAGTTCTGTTTCTGTTCCCTCTTAGTGGTAGTTCTATCCGGTTCATTTGTCTTTGCACTTGCTTTCATAACATCAGCAACCATTTCTTTGATCATTATGCACCAGGTTCTTCTCATCTTTTCCTCACAAAGTCTGGAAAAAGGCATCTTTTGCCTTTTATGACCCAAGAACATGTCATTTTATGTTTCTGAGGGTGGGACTGACTGATATGCAAGCTATTGCTAAGAAAAGTGAACGGATTGTGGTGTATTTCTATTTGGTCACCCTTTATTTTTGCAAATACAGGTTCTGTTCATTGCCATAGAAATTCTCATAACAATTTAAGAGTTGCTTTTTTGTGAGTTTGGTTTTACTCTTGTTAGTTAAATGCTAAATTTTACATTGAATTGAACTCTAATATGGGTTTCTTTCTGTGAAACTATTACTTCATTTATATAGTATGATAACATGCATCTTCTGCTGCTTTTGTCTTTCAGAATGTCTGCTTCATTTTCCCTCAGTTTTTATACCAGTTCTTCTGTGGGTTTTCACAGCAGGTATCTCAGACTGATCCCCTCCCTCCTTATCATTGAAACAATGTGAAATAGTTTTTACTGTCATGGGGATTCTACGTGTATCTCAGTCAACTTCGATTTGGTTAGAAAAGAGTTGAAAGAAACAATCCCTATTCGTCATCTGGGATTTTTGGGAAGACTTCTGTGTAAACAAAGTCACTGTTAATTCAGTGTCACAGTGGATGATTGTCTTGAAAAACAATGGATGTTGTTATCTGGAAGCTGAGCCATGGCAACTAGACTTCTTTCTTGTTAGGTTGACACATTTCACTACTCATCCAAGTAGCTTCTTCAGTCTGAGGAGAGTTGGTAGGAGACCCCTGATAAATCCTCCATGTTGGTTTCACTCCCCCCTGGTCTGAAAAGGCTCATTAGAAGGACAAAGGACTGAGGGTGAGGGATAATCCCACTTCTGCAGTCCTTCTCCACCCACTGTCATGTGTCGTTAACAGTCGTTAACAGTGGCCTTTCTGGGGTGTGTGGTTCTAATCTTTCTGGGGACAGATGTAAGGGCAGCATGATAAATAGGAGACATCTTGTATCTAAGGCCTCCATCCCTGTTGAGTGAGGGATTTTCTATATGCACATATATGGCCTCCCTGACCTGTCTCTCAAACCACCTATCTTCTCCATCCAAAATGAGTACATCTCATTTTGATGAGTGTCCTTTGTCCTTCAAATGAAGGAACACTGCTGATTGTGGTCCTGAGCCATTGCCCCTCCTGTGCTGGGCCATTCTCCTGTTTAGTGGTTGTTTAGTTTATCCAATGTATTGTTCTGAACACTCCTCTTTGCATTGCACCGCATATGCCATATTGCTCCTGTTGTGTTTTGGTGTCTGGTCTTTTGGCAGATGAGTCTCTGCCTTAGTATGTTTGTGGGTTTGAAGTGCATAGGTATGTGGTGTTTACTGAAAATTCTTTTGAGTTTTTCAGACACACCCGCCATGTAGGGAATGACCAGGTTCTTTAATCGCCTCTAGGTCTCAGACTGTTTCATTGTCCTCCTCAGATGTCCATCTTCCTTCTTCTTGGCTTCTGTGGAGGTGGGAATGTTTCTTGCTCTGTGGTTTAGCATCCTGATGACCCTTAGTTTGTGTTGTAATGGGTGATGAGAGCTAAATCACAGGTATTGATCAGTGTGTGTAGGTTTTCTGTAGATTTCTATTCCTAAACTGCCATTGGGTCCTATCATGACTGCATAGTCCATGAAATCCAGCCAGTTGTCTTCCCTGGTGAACTTGATGCACTGTGCACTGTGTTTATGTGCACTCTGTTTATGTGATCTGTGAAGGCTTGTACTTCCCGAATCTTGATCTTCACCCAGGCATCGTCCACATACCTGAACCAATAGGTCGAAGCTGTCCTCTGGAAGGTGTTTAGTTCCTTATCTTCCACTAAAGTTGGAACAATAGGTGACACCAGGGAACCCATGGCACAGCCATGTTTCTCTCTGTAAAACATGGAGGATATATCAAGGATCTCCTACCAACTCTCCTCAGACTGAAGAAGCTACTTGGATGAGTAGCAAAACGCTTCAACTTAACAAGAAAGAAGTCCAGTTGCTATGACTCCACTTCCAGAAAACCTCACCTGGATGACTGAGAATCTTCACAGATATAATGGATGTCATCGTTTGTGAGTTGAGGAAGATACCAATTTCGAATAAACATGGTACAGATTGCTTATTCATTATTTTGTTCTTCCAATAATGGTGAGGAGGAGTACATATAAAGAGATATTTATTAGGCTTATGTTTCCCCCTGGAACATAATGAGTGAACAAATCTTCCAGCTGAGTGCTTTATATGTTTCACTTCATGACTCCTCATTATATAAACAATAGGAGGTCGCTACCTGAAGTGTGGAAATACTGAGTGCAACACACAGTCGCATAGTGCACACAAATGAGAGAATGAGTGATGGGTTTAATATCCGTGTGGGTTTAAAATATTTAAAAGTCCTGTGAGGCTGTGATCCACAATAAATTCATATGTCTGCCATCAACGCTCCCTCCAAGCCGTGCAACCTTGCATTGGAGCCACATACCCACAGCCAGTGTTGCTGCCCATTTGATTACAGTTGCGGCCAGAACCCCACGTCCTTGAGGCAGGGCCCCTGCCCCCACGCTGGCAGAAAATTAGAGGGAATGTTGTCTACCATATTAGTTTCATCTTTTGACGTTATCCAGTAGTAAATGAAATCACTGCAGGAAGGTTGTGAGCCTATATGGAGATCACATTCTTCAGCATGGACTCTGTGAATGCACACAACTGGGTAGCTGCGCCTGCGCAGGAATCCTCGGAATCTTCTAGAGCTTTAGGGGAAAAAAGATTAACGACATGTTACCCCTATTACGCATGCCCTGCCCACGTATTCCTCAGTTCCATTTTTTCCGCCGTTGCGAAAGGAACCTCGCGCTAGAGCTCTATAATATTTTCTTTGCTACTGATATTTTCGAACTCGGACCGTTTGTTCTGACCACGTTTTTCGGATTTCGGACTGTGTATTCTTATGACTGTTACCCCTTGGACTGACTCTGGACTGTTTTGACTGAGATTTTTCTGTTTCTCCCGCCCTTTTTCGGACTGTCTCCCTTGGCTTACCCGGACCGCCTCAACTTTGTTATTGCCCGCTCTTTGACTCCTTGATTATCGCTAGACTGTAAGTGCAATCTGAGCCTCTCCCCGCTTTATGTACTAGTCAGGGCCCCTTAGAGAATGTGCAGCCTGTGCCAGAAAGTTTCCCCTTTCCAACGGGCATGAATGCTGTTTAATTTGCCTGGGGGAAAATCACCAGACCCGAGCTTGCAGGCATTGCAAAGACCTTCCCAGCCTGTGCCAGAAAGTTTCCCCTTTCCGACGGGCATGAATACTGTTTAATTTGCCTGGGGTAAAATCACCAGACCCGAGCTTGCAGGTATTGCAAAGACCTTCTGAAGCCTGAGCTCAGAGCCAGACAGCAGAGGCTGAAATTTTATCTTTGGGAGAGGACACACTATGCCTCTAAACCAGACACTATGGAGTTGCCTGCTAGCCCCCCAGGGTCATCTCGACTTGAGGGTACTGCCACCCCCACACCGCCCTTGCAGGCACCTAAAGCTGTGGCTAAGGTGGGAAAGAAGCCTAATGCGAAAGCGGGAAAAAGTCCCTTACCACTGCGGCATCCTTGGTTCAGGGGGAGGACCTAAAGAAAAAGAAATCTCAAACAAGGAACAAGCCAGAGGGGCAACCCTCCAAGAAAGACAGGCATCGAGATATTCCACCGGCCTGTGCCTCATTACCATCTCCCCCTTTGGAGGGCTCATTGAGGGATGATCTCTCCTCACTGGCAGCCGATCCCCCCCCCCCGCAGGGACAGGTTTCGGCTCCGACATCTTTCCCAAGCTGCTCACCCTCTCCCAGCCAGCTAGAGGATGTAATCCATCTAGAGGATGCAATCCTCCCAGCCAGCTAGAAGATGTAATCCAGCTAGAGGATGTAATCCATTCTAATGCGGCTTCTGCCCATTACGCCCTGACGCCGGGCGGGCGTCAGATCTATCCCGCTCTATATCGTCGGAGCGTGCTTCCCCACCACGAAAGAGAACGGAGAAGAGGAAGCACTTACCGGCCAAGCGGCAGCGGCAATCTAAGAGGGAGAGACTTGTAGTACCCCGTTCTTCTCGGCGCCACAACAGATCTCCCGATGATGACCCCATTTATATTGAGATAGATCGCAAGCGCTCGTGCCGCCGTCGGAGGAATGAGGACTCCTCTTCTGACTTATCCTGTGCCTACGAAAGGAAAAGGATACATAGGAGAGCCCGGTATACATATACTTCCACTTCATCATCCCCTTCCACTTCTCCATCTCGACGTAGAAGACGGAGCCATCGCAACACACTGGGGGGGACACAAAAAGTCTAAATATCTTGATGTGGAAAGGCACTCATTTCCCGTGTTGCCAGCAAACAAAGACAAGTATAGGAACAAGCAAACCCCACCGAGTGCTACCACCCACTCTCTTCCATCTGGGGGGACTGCCCCACTTCAACCTTCTGGGCAAGATGATATCCTCTCCCAGGGCCTTCAGACCAAGAGGAGGAGACCTATTCAGAGGACCCTGAAGAGTCCCAAATGGAGGGTAGAATGCATGACTCTGATTCTGCTGACCCACTTGCTTCCTCACCAGTGGAAGATTTCACTTCATACACCCAGATGGTGTCCAGAATGGCCAAGTCCCTAAAATTGGAAGCCAAGGAATCTATGCAACCGAAAGACTTAGTTTTTGGAGATATACTGCAGGACAAATCAACACCACTCAGCCTAGAGGTTATTCCTGCACTTCTGGAGCTGGTGAAAGAATCATGGTCCTTGCCACCTAACTCCACTCAGGTTACTCGACGAATCGAGAACCTTTATCGTACACATGGGGAGGATGCTGAATTCTTGATGACACACCCCACCCTGAATTCAATCATTGTACAATCTAACACATCAGAGTCTACAGCTAGGTCCAAGGTGACACCTACTAACAGTGAAGGGCGTAAACTTCATGTCCTGGGCAGGAAACTTTACTCCTTCGCAGCCTTCCTCCTGAGGGTGGCAAACTATCAGGCAGCGATGGGCACATACCAGAAGCAACTGTGGGCAAGAGTCCTCCCTGCCCTGGAGATGGCCTCTGATTAGAACAAGACTATGCTTCTTAATACCTATGCTGAAGCCCTTACAGTAGCTAAACACCAGCGCTTAGCATCTAGACATGCTGCGGATGTGGCGTCTAAGTCAGTGGTTTCATCTGTAGGTTTGAGATGACATGCCTGGCTTCGTGCTTCAGGAATAACCGAAGAAGCCTAGTCTCACATCGAAGAGTTACCCTTTGACACTAAAGGGCTCTTTAATGAGAAAACAGACGATAAGATGGAGAACCTTCACAAGATTAAGAAAACTGCAAAGTCAAATACTGTACTATCCAACAGCAGCCAAAGTATCAGAAATATTTATGGCGAAAACCATATGGCCAGCAGCAATTCCACTCTGCTTCATCCAGCCAGACTTACCATCCATTCAGACAGCAGTATACTCCTAGATCATCTCGCGCGTCCTCAGCGAGCACAGCTTATCGCCCTCAGACCAAGGGAACTAGCAAGACAACTAGATTGGTGGATGTCGCTCCCTCATCTCCTTTCCAACCGCTGTACCTATCAGTACAAGTCACCACAGACGCCAGACCGACGGGCTGGGGAGTCCACTGCGAAGGCCACACCGTTCATGCCCTCTGGTCAGTGAAAGAACGTCAACTTCATATAAATCTTCTGGAGATGTGGGCCATCATAAAAGCATTCCAAGTCTTCCAGACGTTGGTACATAGTCATGGTGTCCAGGTAGTCATGGACAACACCACAACCATGTACTACATAAACAAGCAAAGCGGCACGATGTCGATGTCTCTACCTAGTGGTTGTCCTGTGGGAATGGTGTTGCGAACACCATGTCTTCCCCGTTGCAATACACGTCTCAACAGAGGAAAATGAACTAGCAGACTGGTTGAGTTGTCTACCCAAACAGACTCACGAATGGGAATTGGACATTTCAACATATCACGAGATCTGTCACAAGTGGGGAACACCGGTGATAGATGTATTCGCTACATCCACCAACACGAAATGCAGGAAGTTCTGCTCCCGTGTGGGACGCGGCCTGACATCATTGGGGGATGCATTTATGATGAGCTGGGACAGACATCTACTCTATCTCTTTCCTCCTTTCCCTCTGGTACAAAGGACACTGGTCAAGATCAGATAGGACAAGGCCGACGTTATCCTAATAGCACCTTGGTGGCCATGACAGCCGTGGTTCACCACTCTCAGAGCCATGGTGTTAGACTTTGTGAGACTACCACTCATTCCACACCTTCTTTCCCTGGATAAGGGCCGGGTCTTCCACCCGGACCTGCCCTCTCTCCACCTAACAGCTTGGAGGATTAGTCTCTGATCTGTGAAATTCTCAGTCAGGCCAGGAAACCTTCCACGATGCTCCTATACAAGTACAAATGGAATAACTTCCTACACTTTGCAGAATCAAGGAACCTACCACCTAGACCGGTAACTCTGCATACACTGCTCTTCTATCTGTGTCATTTTTTCGATCAGGGCCTGGCACTCTCTACTTTAAAGGTATACCTGTCAGCGATAATTTCCTTCCAACCTAGAGAATCAGAGTCGGCTAGACTGTTTTCACACCCGACTGTTAAGGCCTTCCTCAAGGGCATCCTGAATCTGCGCCCACCTGCAAGACCACCTCTGCCACAGGGGTCACTTCGTTTAGTGCTTAAGGTCCTCATGAAACCGCCGTTTGAACTGATGGCAACCTCAGACATTAAGTTAGTATCCTTTAAGACGCTCTTCCTTGTAGCCATCACTTCGGCCAGGAGAGCTAGTGAACTGGCAGCACTGTGTCATGACAGCCCTTTACCCTGATTTGTCCTTCCTCCCTAAGGTGGTGTCAAGTTTTCACCTTAATCAGCCTGTTTCACTGCCTACACTATTCCTGAATCTAACCTCAGACATGGAACGAACACTTCACGCGTTGGATGTTCGGAGAGCATTGGCTTTCTATACTGCCCGAACTAAGGACTTTCGCTCGACAACCAGACTATTTGTATGTTTTCATGGTTCTCGTAAAGGCTCTGCCACCACTCCGTCTACGCTCTCTAGATGGATTGTGTCAACCATTGGTCTAGCCTATCAGTTACAAGGCAAAGACGTCCCGGAGGGTCTTCGAGCACACTCCACTAGAGTCATGGCCTCATCTACGGCACTGCTACACGGAGTGGACATCCCGGATATCTGCAAGGCAGCCACTTGGTCGACGGCGTCCACCTTCATCACACACTACAGGTTGGACCTCTGGGCCAAGAATGATGCTGCATTTGGAAGGGCTGTTCTGACATCTGTGCTGGAGTGACGGCCCTCCATCCGGTAAGCGAGCTAGTTAGTCACCCAGTTGTGTGTATTCACAGAGTCAACGCTGAAGAAAGAGAGGTTACTTACCTGTAACCATGGTTCTTCAAGTGGTACTCTGTGAATCCACACAATACCCGCCCTGCCTCCCCTCTGTCCATCACTGGCCCTATGTTGCTTTGTGGAGTTCAACTGGGGGCAGCCAAAATGGAACTGGGGAATAGGCGGACGGGGCATGCACAATAGGGGTAACATGTCGTTAACCTTTTCCCCCCTAAAGTTCTAGAAGATTCCGAGGATTCCTGCGCAGGCGCAGTTACCCAGTTGTGTGGATTCACAGAGTACCACTTGAAGAACCATGGTTGCAGGTAAGTAACCTCTCTTTTTCATCTTCATCCACCTGAAACTAAGCAGGTTGATGTACAGTTTTCAGTGGGAGGGTGAATCAAATCCTTAAATATTTCCACTTGAATGCTTACTTTTGGTGGGATTGTGTCTTTTTTTATTGTACCATGTATTAACTTGCAATTGTACAGTGTAAGTATCCTTAGCCATAGCGCTTGGTAAGCAGATATTTTATTAACTGGGACCACAATAATCAAAATTAACTTGGATTGCTGAGAAACTGATGTTGGATAATGTATGTCATTGTGTATTAGTAGGAGATCTCTGGAGTAATGTTATCAATTGCTTCTTTCTGATCATTACTAGTACAGTACCTTATAATTACATGATAACTGGTTGATACGGTTTGTTCCTCTGTCTACAGCCTTTATACGATACTGCGTATCTTACTCTGTACAATATCAGCTTTACTTCCCTTCCTATTCTGTTGTACAGTCTGATGGAACAACATGTCAGTTCAGATACTCTCAAGAGAGACCCCTCACTGTACAGGTAGCGCTAATAAAATTGTTTCAATGGATGTTTCAGATCTGTTTATGAGACCATGTTCCACTTCCATCTGTGAAAGATGGGGAAGTACATATGGAAGACCAGAGGCTCCCAACCCCTGTTTTATAGTTTGGAATGGAAACTTTTTGTTAATATGGGTTTGCGCTCTTCTCTTTGGGCTTTTAGGAGTTTTTAGGCAAGAGTGGTGTGCCATTGCTCATTACTCAAAATTGCTATTTTGGATTGTAAATGTATACTTAAAAATAAACATATGTGCATTTTTAAAAGAAGGGAATATATATGAGGTTTGAGGTTATCACACATTAGCACGTATGTTTGCCAATACCACAAGAAGAAAACATTTTTTTTTCATTGCTGAAAGGGATTGGATTTCAGCATCTGTTTAGTAGTCAGGATAAGTGGGAACAGCAATAGAGGGATTGCCTCTGTGCATTACAGTATGAATCTACTGAAGTGCCTCATGGGACAGTATTGCTGCAAAAATTCTCACATTGTCGTTGTTAATTTCCTTGTTACATTGTGTGCCATCAAGTCACATCCGACTTATAGTGACCTTAATGGTGTTTTCAAGATACACATGTGAGATATTTAAGGAATGGTTTATCACAGTCACTATCCTGTGAATTTGCACAGCCAAGTGGGGAAGTGCATCCAGGTATCCAGAGTCCTAGTCCATCACAATATCCATTATACCATTCTCTTGTACCTGCAGAAATTGAAGTCATACCATTATGATCCATGTTTGAGAGTTAGTGAACATGAACATACATACAGAAACCTTTATTGGCATTACAGGGTACAGGGAGTACACAGGATAGTTACATTCCAATACCGGATGGGGGGAAGGGTGAGGTTGGGATTGTAGTAGGCTAGGTTCAAAGAGATTTATAGAGGGTTTAGGGGAGGGGGAGGGGGGAGGGGAGGTCTTCATAACAGTTAGGAGAAAGTCAGCAACTTGACTGGTGATAAAAGGCAAGAAATCGCTCAGGAGTATGGGGGTAAGGTCGAGGAAGAAAGGGGAGAGGGAAGAGAGGAGTGGGCCTAGTAGCCGCTTACGGGGGATGTTGTGGGATGGGCATCGGAGTAAGATGTGGTCCAGGGAGTCGGGTTCGGATGCACAAGAATGACACAATCTGTTGGGGTGGGGGGTTCGAGTGAATCTCCCAAAGTGGGCTGCTGATGGAAAGATATTCAGCCTAGCGAGCATAAAAGCTCGTCTTTTTTGAGGGTTGGACAATTGGTTAAAATAATTGGAGGGGCGGCCAAGGGAGGGGGATAGGCCAAAAGCAAGAGGGGAGGAGAGTTAGTGTGAGGCAGCATTTCAGGCAAACACTGGGGAGACCTGAGTTAAAAATCTTTGTTCGGCTGTAAAGTTTTTGGGGTAGCCTAGGGCCAGTCACTGTCCCCAAGCATAGCACTGGATCATAGGGTGAAGCTGGTGAAATTAATGTTGAACAATAACATAAGTGAAATATGTAGGGTTCCCATCAGGGCTCCAGTATCTCTGATTTTATATCAGATGCAAAACAAGTGGATTAAAACAAAACCCTCTGTAGCTGTTAAAGTTTACAAACAGCAGTCTCTGGAAATGAATTCCAATCTTTTGGAGACCTCTAGTGTTGCTTTTTAAGACATAAGATGGGATCACCACTGGTGTGCTTGCCAATACTGGTTCCTTACTAAAATGGAAAGCTATGCTGTACACACAGAATAACATATAGATTAACTCTGTATAGATTACATTCTATATACCGGTAGATTATGTTAGAGAATTGCTGATGCTCAAGAAGACAGAGTACTTTAATATTTTAAAATTTTGTCTTTGTCATCATTATTATTCAGGGATGTTGCCAAGAATGCCCATTTACGCTGGCGTGTTTTCATTTACTGGACATTCTTGGGAGTATTTGATGCCGTTGTCTTTTTCTTTGGTGCCTATTTCTTGTTTGACAACTCAACTGTGACCAGCAATGGACAGGTGAGCATCTACTTTGAATAAAGTTACTGGGGGGGGAATTTGAAAGTATTTCAATTAATATAAGGTGTTATTTACATTTTTCCCCATAAATAAATATAATGCAGCATTTCATTAACTTAGCTATAGTTAATATGGTTATTTGTGAACAGAAAACATTGGGAGGTTTTCTGTTGAAAGGACAAAAATAGTAGAATCTCAATTCATTATGCAAGATGTCAGTTTTAAAGTGCTAGATTTAATATCATTAAAGCCCTAGGGCCAGGCTACATTGAAGAATTATCTTCTTCCACATGATCTTACTTCAGTGCTGTCTCACCAAGTGCAACAAGGCAGCTAGCTCCTATCCAAAGAGCCTTGCCTTGCTTTGCCGTTATTTTCAAGCAGTAGTTGAAGACTTTTTCCTAGATTTTAAATTTTAATCTTGAATTTTAATCCATTAGCTGTGTTTGCACATGATAATAGCCAGGATTCTTGACTAAATATGAACAAGCCACTTGCTGGTGCATGTAGCCCTTTGTGTGAGGGGATAACATTAACTACGACACATTGGTATCTGAACCTCTTTTTTGAGTTTGTTGCTCGCAAATAACCTGGGATCTGTAGGACACCAATAAAGCATTGCTGGCTTGCTAATCCTGTCTTATTTAGGAGGAATAAGATGTTCTAGCCTATCCAGTGTCACCCTCTCCAGTTGAGGAGGGACACAGCAGATGCAACAATGAGCACATGCCAGCACAGTAGTAGTTCATAATAAGCTAAGATAAGCTAAGAATGTGTAAACACAGTCACAGGTATTATCTGTCATCTTATCTGATGTTACTATAAAATATATTTTCATTCTTCTCACTTACTGGTTATCTTACGCTGTAATGTATTGCTTTACAACCTTCAGTTTTTTCAGTATCATATTATAATTTTTTAAAAAAATCTTAGTGAATTACCCAGAGAAATTGGTTATTCCATATAAATGTTATAAATAAGTAATAAAACAAGTTATAATAAATAGCTACAGTGCCATTAGGAAGGATATGTTTTCTTCTATGAACCATGTATTATTAGTGTGGTTCATTTCACCATTAATATGAACTTTGTACTTTCAATTGTTTGATTTATTTATAACTTCCATTATGAAAAATGGACATTCGGATATCATAGCAATAAAGCATTGTCATTGGTCTGAATAGAACAACACACACCCATTCAAGACATTTCTATTTGTACTTGTTCTTAAGTGACACTGAATATAATTTTAAGGTCCTTCTGCTTTTTTATTTGCATGTTAACATTTATGTGGTTTATTTTATTTGTGTCTTGCTTTTTTTTTCCTTTTTTGCTACTTGCTTCTCTTCCTATCCTCAGCTAATGACAGCCAACACTCACATGGTAAGACTGCTTGGTTTTGTCATGATGTGTGTTTTCCTCTTTCTCTGTCCAACTTCAGATCAGATAGTCCCAGGAAAAACATTCCTGTTTCCCTCTTTCTTATTGCACTGAAATACTACATACAAAATTTTGCCCCTTTTTACTTAAAACAACAACACCGAAAGGACAAGAGGTTATGGGTTTACATAGGATTTCTTGCTTCGTAAAAGTAGAGGCATATCTTAATTGTTAAACATTTCCATAATTTTCTCTTTTTTCAACTAATTTACTTGTTTTATAATTTAGCCTATATTAGAATTACAAGGTGGATATTTCATATAACTACTGTTCAGTAGAGAAACAAATGTGCTAGCTCAATTCAGATTAAGAGAGGAAGCTATGGAAATGAAGTAGATAGGTGTGGAGAATAGTAGTTCATTGGCTGAAAAACATAAAACTGCCTAGTAGATCACTTGATAGAAATAGACTGAAATAGTAATTGAGTAAATCAAGGTGTAGAACCAATAGAAACGCTAATCTTTACATCCTGAGGTCTCAGTCAGTGACTTTGCAAGCTTGGCTTGAAAATAAAATCCTAGACAGAGCAGGGAGAAGTTATTATTTTATACTACTACTTCCAGAATCCCCAAGCTAACATGGCCACTCACCATGCTGGCTGTGGATTCTAGAGCTTTTTAAAACCCTTATCTGAGGTATGAGACAGTGGCAATCTAGACTACATTACAGGCTGCATAAACTTGTGCAGATGCTAAAATCTTTATCCTAGTACCACTATTGTCAGAATTTGGGTAGACCATACTGTTGATAGGCCTTCTTAGTTACCAGACCCCTTCTGTAGAATGTTCTCTGCCACCCAGAGAAAGAGCCTGTCTTTCTGGACCATGTGAAGAACTTCTTGTAATGTTAGTCAAGTCTGTCTTGGTGCTACTATTGTATTTTGGCTTTCCTAGAGGCTTTTGTTTGTTTGTTTGTCTGCAATGCATCCAAGAATTAAAGAACTAGAGGACAGCATAACAAATTTTCTATCCAGTGTTCAAAAGCTAAGTGATGCAGTCTTCCAATAATCAGAAGAATAAGTTTTTTATGCCAGAAAAAAAAATTACACTTATTTATGCAGAGCTGAGTTTAGGATAATGTGTGTATGTCATTTCTCACAGCATTTGGACAAAGTCCTTTAAGAGCAGCTTATAGCTGACAAGAAGTGCAAATGATTTCCTTTCATTCTTTCATTTTCCGTGTTTGCACTTACTGGCTTCCCTGTGAGACAGAATGACTTCCTTATGCACCTGAGAGAATTCTCTTTTCTCAGTTAGTTGACTGTACAAATAGGACACAAAGATAAAAGATGCTTTCTGTACAGTAGCCCTTGTTTGATAAAGAGTCATTGTTCCATATTTTTTGCCTACAATCTGCTCTGCTATTATTTTCATGGGCACAAAGAGTTAAGAGCTGAAAGAACATCCTCAGGATACCAATTCTCTTGAGGCAAGATTGTACTGATTACAAATAAGTAACCAAGGACAAGCTAAGTTTGCTTGCAGATATAGAAGCAGCAGCAGCAGTGGAAAAATCAAGATTTTTAAATATATCCAAAGATAATTGTTTTCTAATTTCTGCATCATTTTCAGGTGCATGATTTTGTAAGATGAGTAAGGAATCTATGTTCTGTTCAGGGGCTAAATGCTAGCCATAGGTGGAGCTGAAGCCAGCAGTGGGTGGGGTCACCCTTTTAATTTTGTTTTGTTTTGTTACCAGGCAGAGAAATATATCTCGACTGCCTCCTTTTCTTGCCCAACAGACTTGATAGGCAAAGACAGAGGTCTGAACTGGTTGCTTTTGAAATTCAGGCTAAGAGTGGGCCTCTTGGTGAGGCAGGGATGCATTTAGTAGATTGCCCATGCCTAGTAACCATCTAGTATGTTTCTCTGTCATAATTAAGGATTGCTGTTAATCATCATGCCAAAGCGAAAACTAGAAAGCATTGGTAATTAATAAATTCAAGACCCAACGATCTTCATGTAGATCAGAACACCAGAATGTTTTCAGCTGATAGCTGTCTGTATGTGGTTCTTGATATTGGGAAGAAAAGCAAAAGAGGTTTTGAAGTGAAAAGCAGCCAAGCAAAGGAAAGATTTTTATGCTTTTTGTTTTAAAAAAAATAACATATTGTGTAGTGGGGGAAAGAGTTAAGATATCTTTCAGTATCTTATATTTGTAGGACTTTTAAGAATCATTTCTCCAGGAATGCTGGTCTTGTTGCCATCTACCAAGGTAACCGGCAAATGTATTAGCAGTGAAGTCTAATTTATTTAGCATTTAAAATGATAACTTATAATACCATGTTTAATTGATAAAACTTAAAAGGCTTAATTTATAGACTATACACAGGCTAAAACCCTGTTGTTTAGCATAGTAAGTCATGCTAGAGTAGAATCAGTAGGAATATGTTGAGTCAACTCCTTCATAAGTTCCAGTGATTTAAATCGGCCTAGTGCAACTGCAACTATACGTACAATGGGAAAAGTTAATAGATCCACTGTGAAGCAGGAAGTTGGGTTTCTCTGGTTAGTTCACTTCAGCCAGCCACACAGGAGTCAGCAGAGAGAGGGAAGAAATTTGGCACTCAGCCTTGTTTTCAGCTTGTTAATTGTTTGAATCTTGTCTTCCCAAACCTAGATCTGCTTGTTTCCTCCTCCCTATCCCATTTCTTTTTTGTCTTTTAAAGGCTTACTGTCCTGGCATTAAGACAGCTAGGGAGGAATCAAGGATTCTTATCAGTCAGCCTTGTTTCCAACTTGTTAAGATGGCTGTGCTCTAACTATGCCTCCTGGTGAATAGCCACAGCATCTACCTTAACAAGCTGAATACAAGGATGACTGAAAACTTCCTCCTCTCTGTTTGCCAGTTCCTCACTCTTTGTTGTTGTTTTGGAGATTTAGCTGTCCTAATGTTAGAGCAGCAAGCCATGAAAACAGTAGTTCCCAGCATTGCGTCACCAGATGTCCTTGCATTAAAACTCCCAGAAGCATTCACCATTAGCTGTGCTGGCCTGGATTTCTTGGAGCAAGCCATGAAAACAGTAGTTCCCAGCCTTGCGTCACCAGATGTCCTTGGATTAAAACTCCCAGAAGCATTCACCATTAGCTGTGCTGGCCTGGATTTCTTGGAGTTGTAATCCAAGAATATCCGGGAACCCAAGATTGAGAACCACTGTTTAGGAAGGAAGGAAGGAGAAGACCTAAGTACCAGGTGTAAGAGAAGAAAATTAAAAAGGTACCCACTGCCCTGCCTCTCCTTACTGCTTTAGTCATTTAGCCATTGCAATGTACAAAGTTAAGGTAAACAACAGCCTAATTTATAAACAATTCAGGAGAGTCTTTATATGTCTTACAATTTTCTTGGTATAATCTTTTAGGGCCATACTGCAAAAAAGTAATAACCCTTAGCCTCAAGGCATTCAGTTAATTCTTCAGTAATCAAATGCAAACTAAGAATTTATGTTCATAAATGAAATGAAAGACAGTCTAGTTGGTAGATATTTATTTTAGAATCATCCTAAATTTGAACAACTTTTAGCTGTCAACGATCTTGGTACATAACTCATTATATTTATTTTCAAAAAATACACTTTTACATTACAGGTGCATCTTTATGTGCAGCCCTACCTTGGCGTGGCCCAGGGTGATAGAAATTTAATCCCTTTTTCTACATGTCTTTTTGTTTCTTCACTTTATCTGTTGTTATCTCATTTATCCCTCTGTAACCAAAGGCTTGGAGCTTCTATAAAAGAGACCTGATTCTTCCTACCCCTGTTTTTCTATAACAGAGATATAGGGTTTTTAAAATTTCTCCTTGTTTGTAGTCCCTCAGTTGTCTCTTGGTTTGTCTTAAGAGATGAGGTGTCTCTCTCAGGATGAGGTGACAGAGTTGTGTGTCTCCCGTTGCAACCTGCTTTTGTACTCGTGTCTTCTCCTAGTTAAACTGATGAGGAGGTAGTCAAGACTTAGCTCGCTGCACACACCATCAGCAGGCTGTTTGATCAGTGCCAGGATGTAACACGTGGGTCCTATTTATGGTTTATACACGGTCATATACTGTTACAGTTCCTTTTATTTCTTATGTACCTAACAAAAGGGGAGGGAACTGTATTATTAGTATTGCAGGACAAAATAATTGTTAGTGGCACAGCACAACTTCTCTTGCAGAAGAATGCTTGCTCCATGTTGCTGCCAAGTTATTCAAGCCAGAGATTGCCCCATTGAAAAGAACAGAGCTCAACACACACACACAAGAGAAGAACGAACACTTTCTTGCATAACGGGCCAAAGAAAAGAACACTGCGCATACAGAGGTTTGCAGTGCACATGAAAAAAAAAGGCTTTTGGCCCCTTATGTACTGTTTTAGGTTTTAGAAATTCTTTACATGTTAACACAATCCTGTAATGAATAGTATAATGTGCAAATTGCAAATCAAATTGCTGCTTTCCTACTAATATGCTCATGGATGGCTTATAAATCAAATTGCTGCTTTCCTACTAATATGTTCTTGGATGGCTTATATTTTTAAATACTGTACTGAATAGCAGAGTGTCGCTTGGGTACACCACGACCCTATCTAGCTATCTGAATCTCATAGGACCACTCTAGGCAGCTTACTGTACTAAATAGCAGAGTGTCACTTGGGTACACCACGACCCTATCTGGAAAAGTGTTCTAGCAGTCTAGAATAGCAGATACAGTATCAGTGTACCTTGTTCCAGTTTTCTTAGAATGTCAGCAGTAAGAGAAAGCCAAACAGATAAGCTACCAGGTTTTATTTTTATTTTTTGATCAAAAGTGGGAGTGAGAAGATGTAGCTGTTAGGATGATAACATCTAGTTTGATCATTCCTCTTTTAAAGTTGAAATGTCATCCAGAACAATTCGCAGTCCAGAATGTTTTCAATTCAGTTAAATTGCATTTATTTAAATCTTAGCATTAACAAAAAAATTTGGAATGATAATTTACACATCTATTTTATAAATTTGTCTTACAGAACCTATACTTTGTGATATTTATTATCGCTCGCTACATATACAATTGCTTCTGAAATAGATATTGCTATCAGATTACCTTCATTTTTATTCATTCCCACACAACTCCTCACACCTGCGACACTTACTCTTTTAACGAACAGTGAAATAATATGCAGTAACAAAATATTCAAGATTATATACATTTTTAAAATATTTACTGTTATCATTACATTTTTACAGTGCTTTAAGTTAATAAAAGTTTATTGAAAACTTTTGTATAAGTAAATGATTGGCTTTTGTTAATCTCAGACACTAACTAGCATCGCCGCAGCATGGAAACTGATAGTAGTCTGCCTGCTGTTCCCAATTCTTAATCCATTTCTTAGCACAACACCTTTGATTACTTCAAGAACTGTTTCACTCTTGCCTTCTGATTCATTTTCCAGTTTCTAATTCTTACCAGTTTTTATACTACAGTACGGTGAAAAATCCATGGAATAGGCAACAGTGTGGGAAATCAAAGGAGGAAAACTCTACCCAGACCCCTCTCAGTTATTCCCAGTTTACCTTTCTCACTTCAGCTCTCTCTGTGCTATATCTCAAAAGGTCTGTGGACCCTTGAAAGGCTTTTTGTAGGGAAGAGCAGTTGAGAAATGTGTGAGTGGAATTTTACCACTGCACTGTAGTAACTGGTGTAATATGGGTATTCTGCATTTTGTGGAAGATGCACATTTAGTGCATAGTTTTTTAAAAAAGAAACATTTAGTGCCCAATGCAAATAAAACCACATCTTTCTGATACCTGTAATCATTTGATTTTTGTTTTGTTTTGTATTTAGTACTAATCATGCTTTTATGTACAGTATTTGTTCTGTTTATCCCAGTGCTCTCCCTGTTCAGCTTGGAAAAAAGTGTACATGACCCTTCTGATGGGAGAGTTAGAAAAAAAATAAACAGTAAGAGTACTTTGAAAATGGTAGTGGAAGCGCTGTGCTATTTTTTTCATGTCACAAGGAGAGCAAGTGTAACAAAAGGGCCTCAGTCGTTCCATTCCATTCTTTCTCCCAACCCATGTGTCTTCTGTCCTGAACAGTCATGCCCATTTAGTGGGTGCGTAGTATTACTACTTCCCTTAGCTTGCATCACCCTGATTGGGAGGTTTGGGAGTTGTCTTCCTTATCTAATCTTTCCTTTTTAACCTTTTATGTACTTCCGCAAAACTCAAGAGTTCTACCAGGCCTACTAATACCACTAATACCTCTCATGTGCCAATGCTACCAGCTTGCAAGCTTTATGTCAGGCCCACAACTAGTGAAAACGCATACTTCCATGAAAACGTTTAAGTGTGGTCCAGAGCTTGGAAAACTTTTTTTTCCTGGGGTGGAGGGGAGTACCATATTATTCTTAACAACTATGCTGTAGTAGAAAATATATAATCTGGAATTTATGAATTTTTTTCTCCATAGATGTTTGGAAACTGGACTTTTGGGACATTGGTGTTTACTGTATTAGTTTTCACAGTCACTCTGAAGGTATGTTCTTCTATGTGTCATCTATTGAAACTCAATAAATACCACTTCTTGAAATTCCTTCCCTTTGAGGAAAAGTTAAGAGATCTGGGATTTTTTTGTTTTGTTTTGTTTACAGAAAAGAAAACTAACAGAGGACATCTCAGTTTTATAATATCAAGGCATAATATCCAAGTCACGAAATCACATTGATTGGCAGTAGATTCAACAATGACAAAAATAAAGTGACTTGGTAGACAGATTGCCTGGAAATGCATTGTACTAAACAGGACCACATTTCCTTGGCATCGGACATCTCTTTTCTTTAGAAGAGGGGTTAGCAAAGTGTGGCAGATGGGCTGCATCTAGCTGAAGAGCTCTCCTAAAATTACTGGCAGGTTCGTGGGGGTTGAGGTTGCAGTTGGCCCCCTGTTTCAACTCAGTTGTTCACCCTTGGTTTAGAGAGATGGATGCCTATCTCAGTGGCTGAATAGTGATCCAGAGACTGACTTTGCAGAAGTGACTGTAGAGATGGCAAGGAAAGAGAGCAAATAGCTGTGAAGGGTCATGTGTTCCTGGAGCAAGAAGGAATATAATAAGAGATTGTATAGATGGAAGGTCAGACTTAGTTAGAATGGTAGAGAAGAGTAAAGTGAGAAAGCAGAAAATCTAATCTTGATACGTGCAAATATTATCTACTATAATTTATAGTCAGTTTGTTAATTTTTTAAGTTTGTTTTCCAGTAGTTGGCCATTACTTATTCTATATGATTAAAAACCATAGCACATAAAGATAAAAATTCATTTTTTTAGATTTGTTGCTAAATATTACTTTTCAAAATATTGTGGCATCCAACATTTTAAGTTTATGTGACACCTCCTTAAGTCAATTAAGTACTTAGCTGTCATCCTATTCTGTCATCTGTCCTAAGTTGCTTATCTAAATATCTTTTCATACAGCTTGCACTGGATACACACTACTGGACATGGATCAACCACTTTGTGATCTGGGGATCATTACTTTTCTACATTGTCTTTTCCCTTCTGTGGGGAGGGGTCATCTGGTAAGAAACTCCTGTGGCCCATCATGAAATTCCCAGAATGCTAAACTCACAGGAAGTGATGTATTAGACAAAATTGGACCTAATGTCTCATCATGATTGTTGTGTTACACATATTTATTATGTAAGAATGTTATCATGCCTTTTTTCAAAGAAGCTTGGGTTGGTAGATGTGGTTACTCCTCACCAAAAACAAAGCCCCGCAGAAAGATTTCACTTCAAAGTAGATGAGGATACATACCCTGTTTTCCCCCAGATAAACTGCTTCTAAGGACCTTTGGTAATGTAATCTGAAGACAAGTGTGGGGTGATACCTTTATTGGGTCACTAAAATCTCAAACACAAGCCTGCTATCAGCTCCTGGAATCTTGATAGGCTGGGCATTAAAAAAAATCCCATAAAATTTGTGGCAGGCTCTAAGTGTGTGTGAATTTACGAAAGACCATAGCTGTATTCTTTGTCAGGAGTATAATATGATTTAAAAACAAGTCATATGCTCCCTTTGCTCCCTGCGTTAAAGTAAAATGGTCTCAGTGCCATATCCAAAATTGGGGGCAGCCACTGCAGAAACAAGGAAAGCCTCATATGGCTTCCTGGTCACATCTTGTCTATTCTTGTTCTAAACAATACACTGTACAGGTTTCAGAGGCTTCCCCAGTGCATTTCCACTGCCTATTTACCTACTGGGCAAGCCTGGGGAAGCTTCTAAGACCAGTGCCGATCAGCTGTGAGGTGGGAGGGGGAGGGGCTGGAGCGGAGAAGATGCCAAAATGGCTGCCCGCTGTGTTTTCGCCCGGATTCCTCACTTACCGGGCAGCGAAAATGGTGGCCGTATGGAGGATTTTCGCATAAAGGTGAGGTTTTTTGCCCATAGGAACGCATTAAATGGGTTTTAATGCATTCCTATGTGCTTATTTATTCTGCATAGCGATGAATCCGTATAGCGATGATTTTGGCTGCACGGATTATCGTCGCTATGTGGGGCACCACTGTAAACTAAAAGAAAACAATATAACAGACCACAATTTTAAAAATAAAGGAACAGTCTGATGGTACAGAATGCTAACTGACCACAGTCTGACGAGCTGATACAGCAACCTCAGTCTTCATCAGCTGCAAAAGCAACTCCAATCCATGAAGCATATTTCCATGGATCGATGTCCAAACAAATACATAAAGAGACTTGAACAGTAACGTGGAGTATATGTTGACAGCAGCTGCACAACACTTTCAATTAACCGGTAATTTTTCAGTTACCAAAGGAGCTACTAGATGTCCCTGTAGTTCACAGGTTTCTGCCATCTGTGCCCATGGGTATTCTTATCTTCATTGTATTTAAAGAGATTTCATCATATATATGCTCAAAGGCTTTCACAGCCAGGATCCGATGGTTGTTCTAAGTTTTTCGGGTGTTTGAACCATGTTCAGGAGGTTTTTCTTCCTAACGTTTCGCCGGTCTCCGTGGCCAGCATCTTCAGAGGACAGGAGTTAGAACTCTGTCTGTGTTCTGGTGTAGTGTGTGGCCTACAACAACTATCAGATTTCATCATACTTTTCTATTGTGTTAGCATTTTTACAGGCCTTACTTTTTTTTATAACAGCTGCAAAAGACTTAGCTCAGGTCTCTGGAGAAATCTTTAAGTTAGGGGGAAAGCTATGCAAGAAAGAGAAGCTTTGGATCTATGATAATCCAGGCCTGAATTTGAATTTTATTCTTAGAACTTCTGTTATAAAGTCCACAGTTTCTGTGTATTATAATTGCAGTTGCTTTCCAAATAGGTTTTCCTCCAGTAGAGAGAGAAGAGGAATGAAGGTAGATGTAAATTGTGTTGTTTTGCACCATCAAGTCAGTTTCAAATTATGGCAACCTTAAAAGCATTTTCAAGATACGTGAGATGTTAAAGTAATTGTTTATTGTTGCCCCCTGCCCTGTGAATTTACCTGGTTGAGCCATGATTTTAATCCAGAGCTCTTGAAATCCTGGTCTAACAATCTACCTGTTATACTACACATCTTAAAGAGGGGGGAAAGAATGAGGAAAACATTCCATATGTTTTGTTTATTTACCCAGCGGGAGAAGCATCTTATGAAATAATGATTAATAGATGATTATTGGAAATTATTACTGGAAATTTAATGGTCAAAACTATATTCATATAATTAATAAACCAGAAAAAAATCCTTATAAAATCTCCAATTTTCTTGGTATAAGTTGGATTTTTTTTATTCCAGTGGACTCTGTGTCTTTCTTCCACTAGGCCTTTTCTGAATTACCAGAGGATGTACTATGTGTTCCTGCAAATGCTGTCGAGCGGTCCTGCATGGTTGGGTATTATAATGCTCATAATTGTGAGCCTTCTTCCAGATGTACTGAAGAAAGTTTTATGCAGGCAGTTATGGCCCACAGCAACAGAAAGAACCCAGGTAAAATACAGTATTATATATTTATGGTAATTTATAAAGAGTACCTAATCTCAGAAGATTCATAACTTAATGTATGCGCAGTTTTACTGAGGTAAATGAGACTTGTTTCTCAGTAAATATGCTTGGGATTTCTATTTACTGAAAAGTACTTCATGTAAGACAGTCTAAGACCTGGTCATACGTGTTTTTATCCGTTCAAACAGCTACAATTATCTCTACATACATTCTCACACAAGCAAACATTAATGTATGAATTAGTGATGAATTTGCCTGGAAACGTTCCATAATTTTGCTATTTTGAAAAAGCACAACAGTGTTTGCAGGAATTTTCTGAAGTAGTGTTGCTCTGAAATACTGTACAATACATACATTAGTTACTTAATCGTGCCCTTTGAAAAAAATGCCATTTTTTGTTTTTCTTAAGATTATAAAGCAACAGCATCCTATTTTAAAATAGATACTGGAAAAGGATTATTTGTTTGCTAATTAGCATTGACAATTTCTACTCCTCAAAAGTGCATAGTGTTTTTCCCCAGTGTTTATGGTTCACTAGTCAATACATTCAGAGTAGATTCCCTATTTAGATTACTGGTTTACCATGTAATAAAATGAATGCAATAAAGGAAAAAGGGGGAAGAGAACAATCTGTCAGTTTCAGCCCCATTCCTTTGCAAGATTTTACTCTAACATAGGTTTTGTGCATTTAAAAAGTAATTTGTTATGTGTAGGGAAAAATAGAAATTTAATAGCATTTACTATGTGATCAGTGTTGAAATATCAGTAAAGTTTGAACAATAAAGCTTATTAACATGTAGAAACTACAGGCTGAATTGCTAGAAAAATTGTTGCTCCATTTGTCAATCTAAATGATGCTGGTAGTGTGAAAGCCGATACTTAACTATACCTGTGTCATAATTCCTCTTGCTCTTTCTCATCTTCTTCATTAATCTAATTTTTTTTAAAAAATTGAAAGAACAGATCTAATATTCTAAACTAACAATATCTGTCTAAACACAGAAATGTCAAATTAATTTCAGGTAGCTGCCAATCTGATCTTCTGAGTAACCTCAAATGCCGATCCCAGAGATCCATGCCCAGTTTAGACAACATTCTCTTTTTATCTGTTCTTTTAAGTGTTATAGAAGAAAGTAGTTATTACCTGCTGGACCTTCCTGTTCTACTTTCAGTACCTCAGGACCTCTTTTATGTGGCTGTTAGGTTTTGAAAAGCATGTTCCCATGTGAAATCCAGTCTAAATACTCCCCAGTCATTGAGATGATTTCTGGGATTCTGAAGAAAAAATATAAATGGCAACATTTTGGTTTACATATATTGACTTCTTCACAAAGGTGTCATATTCAGGTGTTACTGTGATATATGGTTTTTCAGGGGGAATAAAGAGGCAAGACATAAATTATTGGCTTGTCAGATATAAATTTATTAAATTTAATATTAAATCAGTTAATATTAAAAATGTTGAAGTGTAGATTTGGGGGAGTGCATGTGTTTCTGGGGATATGAGAGGTAAGGCATTATAACTTAGTTGGCAAAACCCAATTTTATAATGATAAAACACTGAAGTTCTCCAAAAATGTAATCTCAGGCTCAATTTCAAGTTAGACTGGGGTTGCCTAGTAAAAAAAAAACCTTAGAAAAATCTAAACAAAGTGATATGCCACCTGTTGCCAAAGTTGAGTTTCAGTAACTGTTTAAAGATCTGAACTGGTTTTTAACATTTTAACAGGCACCTGTAGAATGGTTGCTTACTAGTCAAAATGTTAATAATCTGTATGCTTGTTTCCAACTCTGTGTGACCAGCACATAACTTGGTAACACTGGCAGGTCCCAAGCCAGTTTTCTGATTTCAGGCCTTTCTGGGGGTCAGCACAGACTTTAAAAAATGCCAAAAAACCAACCAAACAAAAAACATCCTAAAACTTAAATTTTTAAAAAATATGAAACTGGATAGAAGTGACTAGAAGTCCACTTCCACACTTAATAACTGGGTATTTGGAGGGTATTGTGATTTAATTGAAAGGCATTTAACAGCATTTGAAGCTCCTGAGGTTGCAGTTTGACTTTTGTTTGTTTATGCCACTAAAATTGGAGACCAGGAGAGAGTTGGGGACTGCAAAAAGAGCTTTGAGAACTGTATTTTGCTCACTTCTTTGGAGATGCAAAGAGGCTTCAATCCTATATTTACAGAGGAACAAAAGGATATAGAAGCCCAGCTGTATCAGTTCTGTCCAGTCCAGCATTCTGTTTCCATAATGGCCAAGATGATGCCCACCAGCAGGACATGAGTGCAGAAGCACCCTCCTTCTCCCATTCCCCAGCAACTGATATATAGAAGCATAGTGCCTCTGATACTTGAGGTACAATATAACCATCATGATTGGCAGTGAGGTGAACAGAACGTTGGACTGTGTAAGGCCTTTAGTCGGATCCAATGTGGCTACTATTACTCCTTAATAATCTTCTTCCCTTTAGCTGGAAGTAAACATCACTAAACACAATGGGACTCATGACTGAGTAGAAATGTGTAGAACTGCACCAACACAAAATTCTACACTGATTTTAATGAAGTATGGTATAGCGTGTTTTCAGCAACTTGCCTCTGTAATTCTACACTGATTTTAATGAAGTATGGTGTTTTCCGCAACAAGATGTGTTTTCAGCAACTTGCCTCTGCGGTTGGATTCTGAACTTTCTCTTATGCAGTTCCCAGGCATTGTTTAATGTGTCTTTGTAAATATGTGGTAGAAAGCCTTTAGCATTTAATCAGATTTATTCCTTGTGTTTCTTCTTTTCCTACACTCCTGTCTTCCATCCTTCCTTTCCTAAAATAACTGCTACCTTGCTTTAAACTATAAATGATGTACACGGGTACTTCCGTCAATCTTCTGGGGAGATCAGACTAAACATCAGTGCCTTTCTGTTGAGCAGTCTACCATCTTTATGCTTTCTCAGACTTCAAGCAGTATAAGTTTCTAATGGAGCAAAAGGTGACCTTTTTTTCCTGCCTCTCTGCATGCCATTTCATTCAAAGGGTTTTAGAAAAGTACATTCACTGTCACAAAGTGTTACTCGTATTTCATATCCCGAACTACACTTTACATCTCTCTGAAATCAAATATTTTTGTTGATGTTTCCTCTCCGCTTTTTCAGAGGTGTCAGTATATCACAATGTGTGCATTCTTTGTATCTTTGTATGTGAACAGCACAATAGAGCATCATCATTGCAAGGGTCTGTTTTTCTTGATGCTTGTTGTTTATAATAGCCATCTTGTATTACAATCATGTTGGTGGCTTGTTTGCCAAACACAGATGTGATGCAAGCTTCTGAACACAATAAGGTGGTTGAAATGTAATGCCAAACTATGCTGGCATATGCACGAGGCTGGATACAGCTTGTGTACTCTATCCCGAGCCCTCCCACCCCCAAACCGTATATAGCCTTCTCCTCCTTTGTTGAGTTAATATTTGCTGTTTGTTCCAAACTTCTGGATTCGGGGTTTGTGCTTATTGTGTTAAAGCAAGATTGACAGTTTGCATATGACCTGGTTTGAACCTCATATTTTACCTACAAACCCTTCTCTCTCCATTTTTATAACGCCAATCTGCCTTCTCCTAAGCCATTACATTTCTCCCCTTAATGCTGTTTAGCTGGTCACCTCTCTGTGCAGCGAGCAAGAACACTCTTCTCCGTAAATCTGCCTTTTTTGCTGTTTCCATTTCCAAAATGTTTTCATTTGGTATATATGTGAAACTGTTTCGGGCTGTTGTAATCAGTGAATGCAAAAGCTTTGGAGGAATCTGTTTCTTCTGATAAACTATAAGTCAAATTCCGTTTCCTTGCTGATTCCAGATTGTTCCAAGATGCCAGTCAGTGTATTTGTGGGATGAAAATCTCTAGCTGGGAATGATGACGTGTGTTCTTTCATTCTTACTTGCATGTACCATCCTAATGATTCTTCCTTCTAATTTGTATTAACATGGCTCATTTCTACTTAACACTGTTTCTACTTCTGCTTCTAGCATTAAAATTTACTATAAACAGGGCATCAGGTTACAGTTTACAGTTCAGATCTCCAGTATAATATATTCTGTGTTAACCTAGGTGTATCTAGCAATTACCTTTAAGGAACTCACAAAGCCTTTCTGACACAAATAAATGATGAAAAGGTTAAGAGCCATTACATCTGGAGGGAAGGCATCGTATAATTTGAATCCCATTACTATATGGTAACTACTATGACTGTGAACTGAGTCATATGGATCCTGCCCTTTCTGTGAACATGTCAAAAGCTTCTCCTCATGCTTAAAAGTATGAAAAATATAACTGAAGATTAAGGAGGAGGAAGAGGAGAGCCATTTGTAATGAGGACAAATATGTAAAGGTGTGCTATTAAAATGGTCTCCTCTAATCCAGTACTGTCATTCATTGTAACTGAGGGCATTGAAGCCTCCTTGATCATATGCCAATGAAAGTCTTTTTCAGTTTGTGATCCATTTGTAGTGTAAATATACTGATTGAGGTTTAGATAAAGTATTTGTTAGCTGGTGGTACAGTTACCATTTCTTGATAGTTTACCTCTTAAATAGTTTGTTTTTTCGTTATCAGTATTGACAGTTTGGTGCCTGCTCGCCTCCTAAAGCTATGGTTAATTTTTTCCTCTTGAGATGTTCATTATTAAGATATAGTCTCGGTGTTTTTCCTCATCCTTGCAGAAGAGTATGAAACATAAAACAACTCTAAATGCACTGGTGAACGATGGGCCACTCCTTGAAGGAACCTTTTCTGCTTCCGAGGCATAATTAGATCATTGATAGGTAACATTGTTACCATTTTGGTAATTTGTATTGGTGTGCTGTGATGTTTTCAGAGGGAAAACAGTTTCCTCCAGAGTTTTTGCTGTGCTTCCGAAATGAAACATTGTTTCTGTGGTTTTGAATATTATAGTCTGTTTTTAGTACATTTCAGAATACAGGTAAGGGTTTATGATCGTGCTTCATGTTTGTGTTTCCTGGAAAGTTTGGGGGTTTAGAAACACTATATTTTGTTTTGATTTTCACATTGATTCTAATAGGATTTAAAAGCACATGGCTGCAATTTTAATTAAATATGTTTTCGTTAATTATTATGCTAAGTATCAATCACCACAAAGGGGAAATGCCTGTACTTCAAAGAAAGTTGCTGGCAAAATAAATAGGCTTAAGCCATAGATATGGCAGTATATAACATTTATTTGGATTCAGATTGAATCATTGACTATCAACACAGGCTTCAAAGTACGTACAATATTTTTTTCCTCTAAAATATTTCTGCATTATTTCTATATATGACAACTCCATGGCATGTACACTGTCTTATTATTCTCCCTGTACCCTTAAATGTTGAGTTATAACAAAGCAGACTTTTAAAGCATGCCAGTTTCCATCTTCACTGGCAACGTGCCTCTGCAAGATAGACTGTGGACTTCAAAGGGCCAGTTTGCATATTTACCAGAGTTGGTAATAAGCAGGTGCAAATGTCTGTGTACATCTGGATCTCATGTATCTTCCCTCAGAAAACATTGGATATTTCTTTTGTGCAAGTCACAAGAAATAACAGGAAGCAAAAGCACAAATTTGCTCACACGTTTTTCTATATGTATTGTAAGTTATAAATTATCCCTCTGAAAAGCACTCATTTTTTACATCCCAACTTACAAACAATCAGGATTTCTACAACAGCATTCATCCATCAGTGTACATCATAAAGGCTGCAAGAGTACATTCATTTTCATGTCCAATTCTCCTATAGAGCCTCTTCATGGCTACCTAGCCCTCATGACTAGGAGTTGTACAAAAACGATAAATTATTTTTTTAAGTTCATCAATGTGATTAATCTTTCTTCAAATGGTGAGTGAAAATATAAAGGATTTCAGTCTTCCATATATCCTGTCAAGTACTGCATAAAGAACAGATTGAAACCAAGCATCCCATTATTCCTGTTGAGCAAGAAAAAAACATGTTTAAAAAGTAGCAGCCAATTATTGTTGAGACCAGTCCTCATTCTAAATGAGTCAAACAGTTGTGCTCTGTGGGTTATAACATTTATGTGTTTGTTTAGTTGTATTGCCCCTTTGCAGTGATAGATATGTCAAAGCTTTCTAAGTGAGTTACTGTGATAGTTGCTTCATAATCTGCAACTTCCTTTTTTGGCAGAATACATCAAGCCATGGCCGGGACCATATTTCAGAATTCACACCTCTTGCCTCTCTGAAGAGACCGAGATACAGAAGCAATGATTGCAAGAATCCCCCAGCAAGAAGGTCTAGTTCTCATTCTAAAAAAACAATGTTTACGCACTGGAGAAAATATGATTATTCATTACTCCCGTCAGTCTTTGGCTTTTCCAATAAACATTGTGACTCCAGTGTGAGGTACTACCACAGAGGTTCAGGTTTGGAAACCTCCCTATGACAGATCACCAACTGAAGCCTTTAAGAACTACAACTATCCCCACCCCCCATGCTCCCTCCAAAATACAAAAAGAAAAAAATAATAATAACCTGCAAATGAGCATTTGGCACCACCGTTTGAAACTTTCCTCACCTTTATTGTCCGGTGTAATATTCTGACAAGTTGGATCAAGAGCGCTGAGTACAAATACTTCCAGGAGTATTGGCCTTCCTTTTCATGTTTTGAACTGCTGAAAAATAACGGATTATTTATACAGTCTGGCACTGTGAGAATGGACGGCACTATAATTTATCTCCATTCTTTCAAAAACCTTTGTTTGTTTATTGCCTCTTGTCATCTCTCTTCCTTTATTACTTGAACAATCTTGCTTTGCTCAATGACCCTCTTCTGAGATTGATGGTTAAAAATTGTCATTAATAAACCACGATCTTGCATACCTAGTGAAATCACTGAGAACATATTCACAGGTGCTGTTTCTGACTTATCTTTTGTCCTTTTTCTTTGCCTTCTGTAGAACAAACTGGTGTTTCCTCTGTGCAAATCTGCTTTCAAGAAACACTCTCTAATGTCCATTTGTAAGTCGCCAAGTAGGATTGTCTGTGGGGTTTGTTTTGTTTTGTTTTTTCCACTGTAGGCCAGTACATTTTCACTTAGATTCTGTGCAGACCTAAAGAAGTCAAGCTGGCTAGCAGATGGGTGACATGGTCACTGCAGGTGTTGGATAGGAAATAACTACTGAATTTAATAATTGAGCCTTAGCATGCTGCTAATAATATATCTATGTCATTAGCATTTTGTTGTCTTTAAAATGAATAGCAGACAGTCAAGGCAAAGAGTGATTTGTTCCTTAACAACTAGGAGCACAGAAAGCAGACCTTGTACTCACCCAGACCATTATTCCATCTAATCCAGTTTTGTTACCGCTGACCAGCAATAGCATTCCAGGAGTTTTCCCAGCCCCTCCTGGAGAGTTTGGAGACTAAGCCTTGAGTCTTCTGCATGCAGCCCATATGCTTTGCCACTGAGCCATGGATCTGCTACTGTAGTTTAGAGAATAGTGTTTCATTTTAAATTTGGCTTTAGAAAGGGAAAGTGAGAAATATCCATTTGGACAAAAGGTCTACTGTACTATAGTTCTGTGACTATTTCAATTGATTAACAACCACTGGGGGTATTTTTATTAGCTGAATAACCACTGGAGGGGTGTTCTCCCCTTATTGGAACATGAACCTGACTGTTCTTTCAGGAATAAAAAAAAACATACAAAACTGGTTTTGAATAATTACAGCCAGCTTGTACTTCTGCTCCACTTGTGGCTCTTGTTTTGTTTTGTACTGGTTTTGAAAATAGCAGACACATACAGTTTTTTTCCCTTCCTTTTCTCCCAGTGTCTTATTTAGGGTGTCAAAATTATTTATAGGAAGAAACATTTCTGTGTGGTGGACAAATGCATAGATTTCCTCTCACTGAAGAGAGGGAAAGGAGGTTGAAAGACAAATTGTGAAAAATGTTATTATACCAAAGATTATGGAGAAAAAGAATGCGGTGATTGTTTCCGTATTTCCACATCCTCGCCCCCACTTCTAACGCACAGCATCACAGCATCTCTGTCATTGGCAGTGAAGCACTTTCCAAATCCAGTGTTGTTCACATTCTAATAATAGTAACACAATTAAAAGTAATCTTTATTTGACATTACATACTTGAATGACGGGTAGAAATGTCCCCTACATAAAACACTGGTTGCAAATATCTATATATATATTATATGTATTTTTAAGAAATTAACTTGATGTGGGTATTGATTTTATACCTGTAGTAGTAACAAATCTCCTGTCTGAGTGTAGTTAACAAAATTATTTTTAATGTATTTTTTAGAAATCTTGAAATTGCCTTTGCACTGAAATATTTTTCAATACTGTAGCTATTTATATATCTGTTTTACGCATACATTTGTTAACACACCATTTCTATTTTTTAAAGTGTATGTTTTAGAGGGTTTTTTTATACTTATGAGTTTTGGATCTCCAGAATTTAGCTTATAGTGAAATTGTTATTGAATGTTGAAATTTTGATGAATGTTAAAATTAGAAAATAGAGTTGTTTTTAAGGCTCATCCAAAGCTGCTGATGTTTTCAATTTGCTTTTGCTTCTGAATATTAGCTTTCAGTGTACTAACACATTCTGCTTACAACCAGCTGCTGCTGCTATTACTATTGTTATATTTTTGTTCCATACAGCTTTACACAAGTTGCTCGTTTTTGTGCTTTTCATCTCCATCCCTTAGCCTTAATTAAGAAGATTCTTGCTTAATGCTGCATTCCCAATCTGCCTACCAACAAAAGGCTTTAATGCAAAATTCTTACAGCTCAGTTGTCCCCTACGATGAATATTTTTTGTACTGAAATTATATGATGATAGCTATGTCTCATTGAGTTGGATATAGAGTTAATCATACTTAGCAGATCCAGAAATTTCAAAGGGTGTACTATGGATATCTGTATCTAACCCATTAAGAGTAATGGTGAATCAGGTTATGATTTGCTGAATTCTGGCTTGCTGTGTATGAACCAGAGCTTGGAGGTAACGAGTTAACATTACTTTTGCAAGTTGCCCAGTTCAACAGATACTTTTTACTGTTACTATTGGCTGGACTTCAAAAGCAACTTGTGTGACCATACATCATGTGTTACATTATCATTTTCATGTCTCTCTGATTGTTTAAGGTGGATAGCGTGTCTTGTGTTTTATTCTCCGTTTAACTTCAGCCAAGGGTCTTGTGTCACTCAAAACAGTATGAGACCCTTTTTCTTCTTTCTCCACCAGTAAAACCATCCAGGAAGTATGGAAAGCAGCTCCTTAAACTTCCTGGAGTGCCTAGAGCAAGGGTAGGCAACTTCTAGAGACCCCCAGGGATCATAGAAATAAACTCCTCAATTAGAGTGCTGCACATGCCTCTATGTTCCCTCGTATACTCCCAATTCTCCTCCTCCTCTTCCTTGAAATCCCTTAGAGTGCTGCACATGCCTCTATGTTCCCCCGTATACTCCCAATTCTTCTCCTCCTCCTCCTCTTCCTTGAAATCCTTTCCATACCCTCTGGGAGATGTGGGAAGAAATTTCATCGCCTTTACCCTTCCGTGCTTGTTTTATGCTTTGTTGTCTTTTTTCAAAACACAAAGTGACAGGTAATCACTTACAGATTTAAAAAAGCAAAACAAAGGAATTGCTGTTGTGCGCTCTAAAAGGGTACAAACATTGGAGATGCACTAGGGTCCTGAGGGGCTCCAAGCATCTCAAAGGCCACTATTTGAACACCCCTGACTAGGGCATGCCTTTGATCTGTTAATGGCATTCATTAGGCATTCCATAAATCTGTGGCTTATAATAATGTAGTGATTAACAGAATTGCAACACCACAGGTTGCTTACGAAGCCCAGGCTATGGCACTGGTAACCAGTTGCATGTTGAAGCAGGTAACGAGTAATACAAGTTTCTTTTAAAACAGTGTTCAAAACTCTGGTCTGACCCCATTCATGTAAATAAACCATGATCTCTTAGCCAGCTACAGACCACAGAAGCCAAGATTCATTGACCAAAATCCTGTTGCTTAGTGTAGTAAACTGCTCTAGGGTGAGTGAGTGGTGAGTCCTCTGTAAGTTCCATTGATTCTAATGGACCTACTCTAACTGCAAGTTACTTTAGCATAGTAAGTTTCAGATAAAGGAGGCCCGTTTGTATCGAAGGAACCTGTGGAGGAATTGAGTCACCCATCCCCCATTGATTCTATGAGTCTACTCTAGTATGATTTACTACACTAAGCAACAAGATTTTGGCCATTGCCACCTTCTAAACCCAGGCTTTTTTAAAACATGCCTTGTCATTACATCTAAATCCTACAACATGCCAGGATTCTTTCCTCAGCGACCCCCTCCAACAGAAGGAATGGGACAGAAACAGACAGACCAGAAATAAACTATACTTTGTTTGATTGTCTATGGGACAATTCTTTGCTAAAACAGCAAGCTATGGCTAACGTAAATAATGGTTTAATGTGACATGCCAATATGGTCTAGGAGGGAAATAGATTGAATTTAACAGAGCTGTGCTATTTATGTTAAATAACCCAAATGTTGAAATGTTCTGTGTATATTGGGGGGGGGGAGTCATGACGGCTTACGTTTGAACCTCAAATTTTCTTTCATTCCTTCTCTATTATAGACCTGCAAGTGTAAAACTGCAACATAGGGGAGGGAAACTTGTAGCCTGCAAACAGCCTCAATTCAATCCGTAAAGGATCCAGAGTTGTTCTACTACCACCTCAAAGCCCTTCTATCTGGGGATTCTCTTAACTGGGAACATGTGAAGAGGGTGATCCAAACAGTATTATTTAAGCAGTATATGAAATAACAGTATGACTCCCCCTCCCACTGTACATCCTGCCAATTGGGCAGACCAGTAGGGCATGAAAGGTAATTACAGTTAGCTCTAGTTTACTGTATTTTTCGCTCCATAAGACACACCCCGCCATAAGACACACCTCATTTTTAGGGGAGGAAAACAGGAAAAAAATACTCTGGCAATTTTGGCCCACTGGGCCCATGGGGGCGGGGGCAGGGGGAGCCTCTGAAGGGTCCTGGAAGGCACTCTAGGACCCTTTGGAGGCTTCCCCCTGCCCCCCTATGGGGCCAATGGGGGTGAAATCACCAGCTTCCAGGACCCTTCTGAGGCTTTCCAAGGGTCCTGGAAGGTCGTGATTTTGCCCCCACTGGCTCCGTGGAGGTGGGGTGGGGGGAGCCTCCAAAGGGTCCTGGAAGGCACTCTTAGACACTTCGGAGGCTCCCCCCACCTTCCCCCGCTGGGAAGTATTCACTCCATAAGACGCAGACACTTTCCCCCACACTTTTTTTGGTGGAAGTGCATCTTATAGAGTGAAAAATATGGCACCTAATATCCTCTCTGAGGGGGCCAAGAGAAGCTTCCCATTGCTGCACTGCAGCTCCAAGAGTGCTCCACGGGGAGCACCCCAGTCTTAGAGCCAGTTTCTCTGACCTGGAAGACCCATGTGCAACAAAACCCCTGGGACCAGTGACATTTGGGAGTATGCGCACACCTCGCAACATCCTCTAGCCCACAGAAGTCTTTCTGGAGTCATGCAACCTTTGTTTTATAAAGCACAACTTTATATTGTGCAGGCTCCAATCCAGAGATACTTGTGCATGCTGCTATATGCCAAGATCTCTCCTACTGAACAAGTAATTGGTACAGTCAGTGGTGCCATGTGGTATATATTCAGCTCTTCTCCTAAACAGAGGATCTGAACTGTCAGAAGGGATAACTTGTTCAGCAGTGTGCCTGCAGTTAGTTCACTTGATGGTGGATGTAAAGGATTTTTCCTGCAAATTAGGACCTGAGTGAGAAAATTCCTGAAAGGTGACCAGTGTGCAGAAATTCCATTGTCATCCAGCTTGCTAGACTGGGGAACAGAGGACTAGCCATAATACATAGTAGTAACCTTAATTAAGACAACAACATAAAAGTGATAGAAATTTAATATGAACAGAAAAATTGCATTCTTTGTAAATCAAA